GGCATGTAAATATACCTCAGGAATGAGAAGAGGCCTTTTGTAAAATCCAGAGCTCAAAATCTGATAATTAAGAAAAAGGGAGTTTGGCATTGCTAGCAGGACATATTTTCAGATATATATGTTCAGGGAGATATTCTCAGTAATGTCTCAGAATAGAATTCACTTAGAGGAAAAAGAAAACTCCTAATTGCAGACATAGAAATGAATGGTTTTGTTCCTGTAAGCTAAGACATCTGATGATTTCTATTAAAACCTCCTGGGGTTTATAATAAAATTTATTTTTTTATTCTCTCTCTCTCTTTGAACTGAAAAGGATTCACATGTATACAAATAAGACTTCTCTTGTTACTCCCTCCCCTTTCCATGTAAGCTATTAGTCTCAGTAGTCATAATTTTAGCCCATTTTGATATTGTTTCAATCCTTTCTAATATATTCTTCCTTCCTTCATTCCACCCTCCCTCCCTTCCTTTCTTCCTTCCTACCTTCCTTCCTCCTACCTTCCCACTTTTCTTTCTATCTTTTCTTCTTTTTTAATGTTGTGATTGTAGGCATTTGAGGAATTTTCAGTCAGTGTATCTATAGGCACATTCTGGCTTAAATTAAAACAACCCAGCTCATGTAAATCCTCTGATCAAACTGTCAGAGATAGTCAAAAACACATGCTGTGTAATTAATTCCCTTGCGTTCAGAAAACAAGCTTCCCGGCACTTCCTTCCTTTCTGTCTGGCCCTGCAGAGCCCAGAGGAGCAGAAGCCCAGATTAAAAATGGAGGCAGTTGAGTCCCTCCTGCTGGGGAGTAAGAAGCTGCAATCCCGGCCTCCCCTTGTGATCATCACCAAAATGAATGTTAGGTGAACTTCAGAGGGAACGTTTACAAATCAAACCAAGGAAACCATAAATAGACCACAGATAAATGTGACCACATTAATATCTCATTTTACCAATGCAAATGGAACCACATTAAATCAATATAAATAGGAAAAGGAGCAACACACATTTGATAACATACTGAATTTTTTAAGTGATCATTCCATTGATGGTAATTTTATTCCTGAAAACTAAATCCAAAGGAATTATGCTAAAAGCAGAAGAAGATTGATGGGGAAACAAATGTACATGAGAGGAAAAGATCAATGTTTGAGAAGTGGAAGATAGTATTTTGTGTCATAGATGAAACATTCCACTCAGTGGCTGATTGACAAATTATGTTTACAAAAAATAACATGGAAATTGCTTAGATATTAAGTGAATGGAAAAAATAAAAGAAAAGAATGCATGCAATAAAATTGCATATACATTCACTCCTCATTTATTGGCATGGTTAGGTTCCAGACACCAGATTGTTCTGTGAAAATCAGTGTTATGCAAAAATGGAGGGTAACAGGATGACCACATCAATATATAACTGGCAAATTACATCATTACATAACTGCCAAATCACATCATTATATAACTACCAAAACATTGAGAATCATGGCTCAGGCAAGTTGACACATAATCTTAGCTAACCATCACAGCCATCATTATTCATGCCTTGTTCCTCGGCATTCGTTACTGCCAGACATACATCGTTAATGTGGAAAATAGTCGGATAGTAGGTTTTTTACTACTGTCATTGATGCAAAATGTAGGATAACAAGATGGTCAATAAGTGAGGAGTAGGTGTACATATAAATATAAGGAAAATATACACTTGATAAAAACCTGAAAAATGCTGAGTTAATACTGTTAAGCAATGTTCATTTAGGTGGCTTTCCCTATTTCTAATTTCCTACTTTTCTACTTTTTAATCTAATGACTATACATTGCTTTAATAATAAAACGTTTAGGAATCTATATTTCTTTAAAATTAGGCAAAAAGCTAGGGTGGTTGATTTGTATCAAAAATGGTAGCAGCTATTCTATTTAATTATTCCAGTTAATTTATGATTTGTTGTTGTTGTTGTTAAGTGCCGTGGAGTCGTTTTCGACTCATAGCGACCCCATGCACAGCAGAACGAAACACTGCCCGATCCCGCACCAGCCCCACAATCCCTGCTATACTTGAGCCCATCATCGCAGCCACTGTGTCAATCCATCTCGTTGAAGGCCTCCCCCTCTTTCGTTGACCCTCCACCCTACCAAGCATGACATCCTTCTCCAGGGAATGGTCCCTTCTTACAACATGACCAAAATAGGTGAGACGAAGACTGGCCATTCTTGCTTCCAAGGAGCAGTCTGGCTGCACTTCCTCCAGGACAGATCTGTTAGTTCTTTTAGCAGTCCATGGTACTTTCAGCATTCTTCGCCAGCACCACAAAAAAAAAAAAAAAAAAAATTATGATTTAGATATTGAAAATAGAGTTAAAATAGTCTGATTGACTCATTTTATTTCACTCTTACTATCAAACAAAATTACACACACATATATAAAACTCAAGGAGCTCTGGTAACGTAGTCAAACCCACCAGCCACTCCTCGGAAGGAAGATGGGGCAATCTACTTCCGTATTGATACTGCCTTGGAAACCCAAGGAGGGGTCGCTATGAGTCGGGTCTGACTCGACAGCACATAACAACAACAATAACAAGGCACTTGACTGCTAACCAGAAGGCTGGCGGTTCAAATTCACCAGCCACTCCTCGGAAGGAAGATTGGGCAATCTACTTCCGTAGTGATATCACCTCGGAAACCCAAGGAAGGGTAGCTATGAGTCGAGTCCAACTCGAGGGCACATAACCACAATAACAACATATAAAACTCACTGCCATCAAGTCAGTTCTGACTCATATCAAGCCCCACTTGGTTTCCAAGGCTATACATCTTTACAGAAGCCTTGTGCTGATCTTGATTCCCATTATCCCCCCTGAAATTAGACAGGTTCTGACAACACTAGTACCATCATTTTAAGTGTGCAATAGAGAGGGCCATTTTTTATTTCAGCTCTGTGCCTTCCTATTCAACTAATACAAATATGCAATTAACCTTAATACAAAAAAAAAAAAATTTCTTCTAGTAAGTGGCAAATAGAGATTTATATTGTGAAACTGTGGGAAAGACTTGGGGATGAGGTCTTTGGCAGAAAATCATAGTGATGGTAGTAGAGAAAGGTTAACTACAGGAATAGAGTACTGGTCTGCCTGTGGATGAGGGTGGGAGGGTTGGAAGGGAAAGCTGTTGACCTTTGTCCAAGCACAGGATGATGGGATGTTGTTGTTTTTAGGTGTCATCAAGTCAATGCAGATTCATAGCAACCTTATAAGACAGATAAAACTGCCCCATAGTTTCCTAGGCTATAATCTTTACAGGAGTAGATCACCAAGTCTTTCTCCCACAGAGCTGCTGGGATCAAACTGCTGACATTTTAGTTACCAGCCAAACACTTAACCATTGAGCTACCAGGGCTCCTTAGGATGAGCTAGACATCCCATTTTACAGCATGCAATTTAGTCAGAATATCTGGGTGAGAGTATTATCTTGATCAAACTCTCACTTTCTTACTGTGAAACTCTACAAAGCCTCTTAATTTCTCTTGACTTCTGTTTCATAGGGTCTTTATGATGATGATTAAGGAGCTCTGGTGGCACTGTGTTTGAAGCACTGGGCTGTTAACCTAAAGGTTGGTAGTTTGAACACACCAGCCAATCCATGGGAGAAAGAAGGGGTAGTCTGGGTCTGTAAAGATTTACAGCCTTGGAAACCCCGTGGGGGCAGTTCTATGCTGTCTCGCAGTGTTACTATGAATTTGAATTGGCTTGATTGCAATGGATTCAGTTTATGATGATTAATGTGATCACACTTATTTAAGGTAAAACACTATAAATGTTCATTTTGATTATTATTAATACAATCCTGAAGTATCAGAATATAACGTCATTATTTCTGCAACCTGCTTTCAAATAGTGCAGACGAGAAAAATACATAGTTAAATGGAGATAAAGCAAATGTTGCAAAATGTTAGTGATTGATGGATCTTGGTTAGTTGTAGTCTGCCAACATTTTTTTTTTCAAAATAGAACAAAATTTGAGAATAACATTAAAAATATATATCCACATAGCCCTCAATTTAGAACATATTCAAGTTACAACAAACCACACTTATCTGTTTTCTGAGGGTTTATTTCATTTATTTATTTTGGTACATGAGTAACATGTAGTATATACAATCTTACAAGCATGCAATTTCCTGATGTCATTGTATCTGAAAGCAGTGTTTCCAATCCCCAAAAGACAAATAAAAATCTGATTCATAAAAATACTGATAATAAAAGACAATAAAAATAATAAGGGAAACAATAAAATGAAGTAATTTGACTTATGTCAGAACCAACTTACAAAAGAGTCATCAGATGGAAATCCCATTGCAAACCAGGGAGTACCTGTAAATAAATAAAACGTTATGACTGTGCCTCTCCTTAGATTCTGCTTCTCTCCAAGCCTCTTTCTTGAAAAGTAAAAATGGAGAGAAAAATTATCCCTGCCTTAGCCACTTCCTAAGTGCTGTGAGAGCAACTGCCATGTTAACAGATCCAAAAAACCAGAAAACCAGTTGCCATGGAGTTAATTCCAACTCACAATGACCCCACATGTGTCAGGGTAGAACTGTGCTCCATAAGGTGTTAAGTGGCTGGTTTTCCAAAAGTAGATCACCAGACCTTTCTTCCAAGGCACCTCTGGGTGGCTCAAACCTCTAACCTTCCTATGAGCAGCCCAAATGTGTTAACCTTTTTCACCATCCAGGGACTCATAATAGATGTAGAGCACTTTGCAAATCGTACAGTCTTGTCTGGGCACAAGGGGTTATTGATGTGATTATTTGGGTAGCACTAAGCAATCCCTAGATCCCACCCTTTAGCAGTCCAGACTCCAGCCAATCCAGGCTACGGCGGCCACCTTACCATTACATATGCATGACTGGCCTCCCGGCTTCATCTCTGCTCAGAGCACCAGCTGCAGGAACCGGAGCACAGTCCTGCTCCTGAGAACTGGAGGGCAGAGCAACTCTGCAGCTCTCATCCAGAAACCTCTATTGGAACAGAACTCTACCTGCTGACTACAGGTTCCAGACCTGCTGCTGGTGACCAGAGGCAGCAAGTCAGCTCTCATGAAACCCTCAAAGGCATCCCAGCGCTATAGAAGCATCCGGAGAAATGCCAGCCAGAGATACCTCTACCACGAGTCCCTGATGTTCAGGTGAGCCAGTTCCATCTATAAGCTGGGCAGTGTTTATAGGTGGGTCACCTGAGCCTTGCTGAGATCTGACCACAGGACAGAGAAAGGTCTTCATCCTTCTCAGTTCTCATCCAAATTGAAATCAGAAATTCATTTCTCCAGGTTCCTATTCAACTAAGGTTGCAAACTCAGCAATAGGCAGAGAAGGCGATGGCTCTACCTGCTGCTTCTTGACCAGGTGGGGCAGGGGTTGTGGTGGGGGATCAGATCCAAAAGTCTGTACTCCAATTTGGCATTATTGCTGGCCAAACAGCATGCATCCAGTCTCTATTTTCTCTCCAGTTACTCAATCAGCAGTGTCAAGACACAACAGATAATACATTGGTCAGAATAAATAAGGCATCTGTTGGAAAAGGCTTCAGGCCAGTTAGAAGTATTTAAGTGCTGTAAGACTTTGTTAAATATTTGTGAAAGTGTATTAATACCCCATTAATTTGGAGAAAATATTCCTTTGATTAAATCAGAACAATCTGAATTGGAGAATAACAAAGGAATTACTTCCTCTTACTTTTTAAGTGCATTGTTGATCTCACAACCACAGCAGAGTACTCTCACCCCTTCCTGAAGGTTTGTGTAAGTATTAGCATATTAGTTGCTACTGGGAATAACAATTCCCAATTCTTCTTGTTGGTCAGTTGTTCTCCTAGAGAGCATACACTTTCCTGAAATAGTTTTCTATGTGTATTAGTTTGGCTAATTTCTTCTTCATAGGTGGTATCAATATAAACTGCTGCCTGGTTCTGCTCCAATTGTCTCAAGCTTCAAATGAAGCAGAGTGGGAGGGGTTTCTGGGTGAAAGAAATGTGGTTTTTACTTCTCTTCAGCACTGAGGGACAAGGAGGAGTCCTGCCTGTAAAATTATCTGATTATTTCAATGAACCTGAAAAAGAAATTCTTTGCCACTAAAGGTGCAGCTATACATAGGCATCCTCATCTCCTTTTGTGACATCTGCTGATAATATCTTTCATCCTGAGAAACCCTTCTCTTTCACGAGCCCACTGAAGAACAGCCTGTTGCTGCCCACTCTATTCTGCCTCATGGCTACCCACTGTGTGTCAGAGTAGAACTGTGCTCCATAGGGTTTTTAGTGGCTAATTTTGCAGAATTAGAAGGCCAGGCCTTTCTGCTGAGGCACCTCTGGGTGGACTCTAACTTCCAATCTTTTGGTTAACAGCCAAGCATGGTAACTGCACCACCCAAGGACTGAAGCAATAGAGTCTAATAAATGAGTTTCAATAGACTGCCAGTACTACCATGTTCTTTAGCTACATCTCTAGACCTCTAAACTCCCTCACTTCCTACACACACACACACACACACACACACACTCTTCCTGCATACACTTGTCTGCATACACTTTTAGCCTGGGGCAAAATGATATACTGAACTTGCCTAAGGCAGAAGCAGGGTAATCTACTAATCAGATTTTCCCCTCACTGTCCTGATCCATTCAGCAACTTGGATGACAGCTTTAGTGCTGATGAAACAGGGGACAGCAATGATCCAGAACAAATCTTCCAGAATATACAGTTCCAGAAAGACCTCATGGCAAACATCCGATGCAGGCCCTGGCCCATGGGACAAAAACTGAGAGCACTGAGGTGAGGGCCTTAAAAGTAATTACTGAGTATTCCAAGTACTCTTTCCACTAAACCATGTGTGTGAGAGGGGTGAGTCAGTCCCTCTTGGCCTGTCTTAGAGAGCCACAGAGATGTTTGAGGGGTCCAGCTCATTGCCCACACTGGATCCCAGGGTAGCCAGTTACTCTGTGTGTATGTGTGTGTGCACGTGAGTATGTGTCTTTGTCTGTGTTGGATGCATGTGTTGTTGCAGAGTGTTTGGTCTTCTATCTCAGATACAAATGCCAGATCTTAACATTGTCTGGAAATGAACAAAAGTATCAAACTCACAAGGGAACAGGCTTGTTTACCACAATGAAAAGAGAGACATTCATTTTAGCTGCTTGGCTATGACCTCATTCTAGAGGGGAAAGCCTTTGTGGGAAGCCTGATGATTAGACTACTGAGAATCATATTGGAGAAGCTGTCGAGATAACAGTTATGTTCTAAAGATTTGAAAGCAGATTGCCTACATTCAAATACTACCGCTACCACTCATTAAACTCACTGCCATCGAGTCGGATCCAACTCATACCAATCACTCTTTGGGTTTCTGAGGCAGTATCACTACAGAAGTGGCTAGTGGGTTTGGAAGTGTATTGCCCAACCTTCCTTCCAAGGAATGGCTGGTGGGTTTGAACCGCCAACCTCCTGGTTAGCAGTCAAATGCCTTAGGCACTATGCCACCAGAGCTCCCCATGTATTAATTGTTACTGAAAATCCCTGATTGCCCTCAGGCCTACTGAAGCAGAAATAAGGGCAGAGGGCTCCAGAATTGTGTGCTTTCAGTAAGCACCAAATTGATTCTTTCACATACTCAAGTTTGTCACTGGGCAGGACTAGAGCCACTATTGTATCTTGCTTTTTGGTGTCCTTTTCTAGCTGCTAAGCAGATATCTCCAGCATTTCTTTCCCGTCAAATCACACCTTAGTTAGATTTCCATTCCTGTCTCTGTTTTTCCGTTCTGGCAAGGCAGACAGTATGTCCCTGGGGAGACTTCAGCAGATGGCTAAGCTCATCTATATTTTCACTCTCAAAAGTTTCCAATTAATTCATCTTTATCTGCCTTCTATTTCTGTTATCAGTACTCATCATTTCCATTGCGTTGAGTAAGAAAATAGTTATCTCCATGTTTCAAATGAGTAGGCTGATACTCAGAGATGTTAAGTGACTTATCCAAGGACCATACAGCTTCTGAGCGCTGGAATTGAGCCTTAAACCTCAGATTTCTGACTCCCAGTCCAGTGTTCTAGTCTATGGAAACATAAGAACTCTAACAAAATAGCCATTTGAGTGATTAAACTAAAAAAAGAAAGGAAAGAAGGATGGAACGGGGGCGGGGGGGGTGAAGAGAAGCAAATGTTTTATCAGAATTTGTAAAAATCCTGCAGAAACCATGATTAATGGTTGTCTGAACAGTAAGAAATTAAGCCTTTAAAAAAGAAAAAAAACGTGAGGAAAGAGCACAGCAAATGATGACTTTTCTGTCAGGGTACTTCTGAATAAAAGAACAAACAAGGCCTTGTGCCATGTTGTTCAGCCATGTCACTCAACCAGAGCAACAAGATGGCCGACGCAGGCAATTCAACAGGCCAGTGATCAAGGTCTCAGAGTGCAGTTCTCATTCTGAGCCTCCATTTGTCATGCTCTTATCACACACATCCCCTCTCCATCAGCTTGAGAAACTACCGGAGCAACACTTCACTAATTGGACCTGCTGAGGCTCACCTTAGTGGAAGGCTCCGAAAGCATTAAACCCTAACTGAGAAGCCAGGGAACAGTACCGGATGCAGACAAAAACAGGACACTATAGCCCCGAGTCTGAAGCAAAAGTCAGCTGCTGGGAGGATATAGCAGGTGTGTATTTCTCATTTAGGGAAGAAGTGGTCAGGACTGGCGGAACCACCGTCAGTCTATGACTGGACCAAGTTATGACCACTTCTCCATGCTATCACAGCATCCCACTCACAGCTTTGCCTAAGGCACTTGACTGCTAACCACAAGGCTGGCGGTTCAAACCCACCATCCACTCCTCGGAAGGAAGATTGGGCAGTCTACTTCCGTAGAGATACCACCTCAGAAACCCAAGGAGGGGTCACTATGAGTCAAATTAACTCGACGGCCGTGAGTATCATAATATTTAGCACACCTAATTACCCCTCTGACTTGGTCACTGTTTATGTCTGTCTCATCCTTACAAGGTTGTGAGCTCTTCCAGGGCAGAATCTCTGTTTTATGCATCACTATATACCACTGAGGGAGCTCTGGTAGCATAGTGCCTAAGGCACTTGACTGCTAACCAGAAGGCTGATGGTTCAAATCCAACAGCCACTCCTCGGAAGGAAGATGGGGCAATCTTCTTCCATAGTGATACTGCCTCAGAAACCCAAGGTGGGGTCGCTATGAGTCGGGTCCAACTCAAGGGCACATAACAACAACAACAACATATACCACTGTGTTTGACCCAAAATAAGCATGCAGAAAAGGAATTGAAGAAATTCAGTTTTAACTAATTTTAGTATTAAGTCATCATTTTATATTAATCTCACCACTTAAATGTTAAAGAATATAATTTTAAAGAAGTTTTCTGTTTACCAAAAGTCAGAAAATAAAATATTTGTATAACTCTATATTCCCCTATTGCTGTAACATCTTGTCCTACATTGTTTAGCTATCTATTATTGGTATTTTCACACATATTTTGCAGAGGTTGAAAGTACGATAAAATTGCATTAAGAATCATTTTTTTTTTTTCAGACGAGCAAAGGAGATTGTGCTGAAGTTTGAAGGGAGACTGACCAGGACCCGAGGCTACCAAGCAGCCAGTGCAGAGGTAAGGCACATGCATGGTGGTGCTCCCACCCCTGTCTGTGGTCTCCAGGGCAGGAAACTGCACTTGTCCTTGCACTTGCCATTGTACTAGGCTGTGAGCCTCAGGGTCATTAACAGCTACAGAGCAGTGCTATCAACTGGAAAGTCTGCATTTCTCAAAGGTTGGGTTGTGATCCCAGATCCTGTCACTTACCAACTGTGTGACCCTGGGCAGGTGTAATTTAGCAGAAAAAAAGATTTCTTCTTCCGGGGGAATGATCTAGCATCTTTCCTGACTTTAGGCCCCACACACATACAGGTTCTACTCATTGTACCCTTTGTAATGAGTAAGTTACATGCATATTCCAGTACTCATTCTGTACCACACATACAATACTGAAGTTTTTGTTCCCCATTATTTTTACCCATTCAGTTACTTAAAGCCAAACTTTAGTATACATTGAAATTATATACTTATAAAGACTTTCAATAATTTTCATAAGTGTTTAGAAGACTTTTAAGAAATAATTTCTTCCATAAGCCCTACTCCCAATATAGTATCATTTTTTAAATCTCATATATCAGTCTTTACATATATATATAATTTTTACATCTTTGCTGTGTACAAACATTTATGTCTTGCTTCTTTTGTTACTTAACACCATAACATAAGGGTTTGTCTGTATAGCTGTATAGTTTTTATACTCATCATTTTTAATCACTGTATATTATTCCATAAGATAAATATATATTAATTAGTCATTCATCTGCTGATGATGGATATTCAAATTGCTTCCAATATTTCGTTGTTACTAATAACACTGCAAAGGCTTACACACTTCCTATCTTTTTTAATTCTTTGCTTAGGATAAATATCAGGACTATGATCACTGTAAATTGGGTATGATCCTTTTTTTTTACTCTTGAAAACTATTAACAATTATTTTCCAAAAGTCTTTGTAATTTATGTGGCTGTCCACAATGAAAGCTCTCATAATATCTTCACCAATATTGAATATTATATTTTGCTCATGTTTGTTATTTTGACAGGCAAAAATAGGCATACATTCTGTTTAGATTCTTTGAAACAAAAATCATCTTAATGAAGTTTAAGTGAAACCTTAGTGAGACCTGGCCATAAATTTTAGATGTTTGTCAAATTATAAAATATTGATGATCTTCAAGGTTCTACCTTGACATTCTGCTTCCTTATTCTTCAGAGCCTCTTCCTGAAAACTCTGATCCATTTTTATGACGAAATTTACCCAGGACTCCTTATATCTGTGACACCATGACTGAGCTTATGAAATAAACATATGAAATAAAATTAGCTTTCTATAAGCGTATAAGTTGCCAGTTCCTCTTCCCCTTTTCTCTAAATAAACTATGAAATGTTATGAGAAAACATTCGTGAAATAAGTTTCTTCACTTGTGTTTAGACAACCTCTAATATTTTATATATCATAATGAAAAAGAATTGGGACTTTTAGTAACATTAAATCTATAGAAATTAAAAAAAAAAAAAAAAAAAAACAGTTGCTGCTGAGTTGATTCCAACACTTGATGACACCATGGTGGGGACAGATGGATATATTTTGATATCGTTCCTCAATGATTTCCAATGCTCTTTTTCTGGTCCTTGTTCTGGTTCCTGGGTGGTACAAACTGACTGTGCTAGACCACTAACCTAAAGGTTGGCAGTTTGAACCCAGCCAGCAGTGCCTCAGAAAAAAGATTACAGCCAAGAAAACCCTATGGAGGAGTTCTACTTTATAACACATGGGTTCATCATGAGTCCAAATCAACTCAATGGTGACAGACTTCAGTTGGTTTGGTTTGGTTTGGTTTTTGTTCTCTTCAATGGAGTCCCTGGATAGTACAAACAATTAAAGCACTCAGTTGCTAGCTGAAAGATTAGTGGTTCAACTCCCCCCAGAGGCACCTCAGAAGAAGGACCTAGCAATCTACTGCTGAAAAACCAACACTGAAAACTCTAGACAGCACAGTTCTACTCTGGTACTCTGGTTGCCATGGTTCAGGGTCAATCAATAGCAGCTGGTATTTTCTGTAGCACCAGTGTTAGGAATAAGGCAAGCTGGGATCCTAGAGAATATGAACCTCAATACCAACCTCATAGCTCAGAGCCCAAAACAGAGGTCCACTCACCTGGTCAGGAGCACAGAAAAGACAAAGGGTACTTTGGTCCTAGAGCTGCTTAAAGCCCTATGAAGCCATAACATAAGGTCTCAGAGGGTGTCTCTGGAAGCCCTCCTCAATGTAGGGCCCCAGCACCACATAGTCATTGCCCTCATCATGAACTTGAAGCTCTCTAATCCTGCTCCCTCCTTCCTAGCTCTGGCGGAAATTTGCTCGTCTGGCCTGTAACTTCATGGTCATCTTCATCCCCTGGGAAATGAGGATAAAGAAAATCGAGAGTGAGTGTTTGCACTTGGAGGAGCGGGGCAGGGAATAGAGTACACGCAGCCACTCAACAGTGAGATTGCTCAACATGTGTGTGTGCTCTGCTTGGCTCCATGTGGCACAAAAGACATTGAAAACATCATGTCTGTCCCCACCACCTCCATGACAGAGCAATTCCATCTCATGCCTTTCCATATTTCACTGTAACCCTTCTGCTCTTTCAGTTCAGTCATTCAGCGAGACCCAGCATAAACTCAAAAGGATCAAGTGAGAAACTATGCAGACAAGTAAGAGAGAGGCAAGGTGGACTGTTGCAAAAGAAAAAATACAAAAATCTGCATTTTCCTGGATATAATAGTAGCCATTTAGAAAATATGTCCTAACAAAATAAATAAATCACATTCACAACATTTACACACACACACACAACCAGGAATAAACTTAACCCTAAGTATCAACTGGGAGCTCTGGTGGCATAATGCCTAACGCATTTGACTGTTAACCAGAAAGCTGGTGGTTCAAACCCACCAGCCACTCCTTAGAAGAAAGATTGGGCAATCTATTTCCATAGAGATACCACCTCAGAAACCCAAGAAGGGGTCACTATGAGTTGAATCTGCTCCGTAGCTTTTTTTTTTTAAAGTATGAAGTAAAGAAAACTGCAAAACTGGACCATAAAATATAAAGAGTCTGTGGTGAGACAGGAGAAGATTTAATATATGGAAGATGTTGATTTTCCCAAAATCAGTTTATAAGTTTAAGCAATTGTAGTAGAAATGTCAATGTAATGGTTTTAGTACTTGACAGAATGATTGTAAAACTCACAGAGAAGAAAAACACTCAAGAAAATAAGCAAAAAAAAAAAAAAATTAAAGGGAAAATGAAAATAAACTTGTATATACAAAATGTTAAAATACATTATAAAGCTTCAACGATTGAAGCAGTATAGCAATAGTGCAGGAGTTGACTAATAAACCAAGGCAGTAAGCAAAAATTCAGGAAAAGCTAATGGTATATATGGATCATTAGCATATGCTAATTACTGGTATCAAACTAATTTACTCCATAAATGGAACTGGGACAATGGATTTGAACATTTTAAAGGGTAAACTTAGATTCCCTCTAACTGTGTAATTTTAAATATTTAAAATTACATTAAATATTTAAATAAATCTTGAAACAATTCTAAAAATATAGGTGATAAAATCTCAGAATGAAGGCTTTTCTGATTATAAAATTGAAGGAGAAAATCATTGAGGAAAGTACTGCTCTATGTCATTACATAATAAAAAATTTTCATAAACATAAACAGTAAACAAAGATAAAAGATGACAAAGTTAGAAAAATATTTTCAACACTTAAAATAAATTAAGCATTCTCAGACACAGCTGGTGGGGTTGTAAATCGGGATAGTTTTTACAGGAAAAAAAAATTACTCTATGTACTAAATGACTTCATAATATCTATTCCGTTGGATAAAACCCTTCCATTTCCTAACAGTCAGAGGAAATAACAATAGGCACAACAAAATCAATGAACAAGGCTGTAGTGGATGTTGTTGGTGCCCTGCCCAGATCCACTTTACAAGGCTGGCACACCTGCTCCTCAGCTGCTCTGAGTTCTGGCTGCTTATGACTCACAGCTGCCCTCTCCTCCAGAGAATTGTTCTTGGCCAACCTGCCAAATTTTAGGCACAAATTGATACCTCTCCTCCCTTGTCTCTTGTGCCCTTCTAACCTAGAGCCAATGACTGACTGGCAGAGAGGTGGCTTTCCTGTTCAAAGTAGATCCAACTCTGTGGTGCAATCCACACTGCAGAACTCCCCGTGGGATGACGATACTCTAGGCTCCAGAGGAGAACACATACCTGCTTAGTTCCTTCCCCTGACCTGCTCTGCTTCCCTTTTCCCCTTTCTCCTGAGAGAATGTTCTTGGTAAATCATGTATAACAGAATCCCATTCTCAGGAACTACTTCTAAGGAACTTGACCTTAGGCAGAAATTATTATTTATTTTCACCCACGTGAAAAGTTGGAAAATTCCTAAATGTCAAGTAGTAGGCGGTTCTTGTTGTTGTTGTTTGCCGTCGAGTCGGCCCCGACTCATAGCGACCCCTCCTTGGGTTTCCCAGGCAGTATCACTACGGAAATAGGGTTGCCCAACCTTCCTTCCGAGGAGTGGCTGGTGGGTTTGAACCGCCAGCCTTCTAGTGAGCAGTCAAGTGCCTTAGGCACTATGCTACCAGAGCTCCCTAGTAGGCGGTAGGTTAAATAAATTATAAAAACTCTATTTGATGTAACACTAGAATTAATATTATGGAGAATTATTTTGACAAGAGAAAATTTTATAATACATTGGTAATGAAGGCACATATTATGGAGCAATCCCAATTTTATACCAAAATTTTTTTTTTTTTTTTTTTGCTTTACTTGTGACTTTTTGTGTTTTTCTGTTTATTAGGACCAACTAACTTTGGAATAATAATTCAAGAGATGATAGTTTTTAAGCCTTGCAAAGACCCACATGGTCCACAGAGTCAATGGAGTATCACTCACATCCTCATCTAACTTATTCTATGCTCTCTTGTTTTCTCTTCAATGCACAGAAATTTGTTTTTTAATACACTTTATTTTAGAATAATTATAAATTCTTAGAAAAGTTGCAAATCAGTTTTCATATATCCTTTTTTCACTTTTCCCTAATGTTAACATCTAACAACTTGTTTCATATCTTGAAATTAAGGGAAAATGACCCTAAGAAAAATCCCAGGAATCCTCAAAACTATTCAGAATAGAAAAGGTGATTGCACTTCATAACATACATGAAGTACAAATTTGATCAAAACATTTTAGATTAATATGTCAGGAAGGAAATTACTATAAATAGTAGTTTAGCAAATGAGGAGCCCTGCTGGTGAAAAGGTTAAGCACTCAGCTGCTGACAAAAAAGGTTGGTGGTTCAACCTACCCAGCTGCTCCATGGCAGAAAGACCTGGTGACCTGCCTTTGTAAAGATTACAGTCAAGACGACCCTGTAGGGAAGTTCTACTCTGTCACATGGGATAACTATGAGCCTAAGTCAACTTGCTATCACCTAACAACAGTAACAAGTTTAGCAAACTAGGATTTTATTTTTCCCCCTGCAACTGTTCTTAGAGCTGGTAGGCATCTTTACACATCTAAGTTATCACTTTTCATAACCACCCTGACTGGTACAATAATGACATTCTTACTCTATTCCCTGCCCATATGAGAACAATTTCTGTGTTGCTTTAAGAAGAACTTGTGCTGTGAGGATTTTATGGAAACTATCTTATCTTCCTTTAGGTCATTTTGGATCTGGTGTTGCCTCCTACTTCATATTCTTGAGATGGTTATTTGGAATTAACATTGTGCTCACCATAATGACAGGTGCTTTTATTGTCATACCAGAGGTAAGAATTTTTTCAGGAGAAAAACAGTGTACTACTTATTTAAAAGAGGGGCCTTTAAAAGGAGTAGCATGAAACAACTTCTCTTGCTATCCTCATGAGGAGGATAACCTATGTTTTGAAACAGAGGTTGGCATACTTTTTCTGTCAAACAGACAGTAAATATATTTTGGTCTGTGTTGGCCACACAGTCTTTGTTTCAACTTCTCGACTCTGCCATTGTAGTGCAAAAGTCACTGTTGTTGTTAGGGACTGTCAAGTCAGTTTTCTACTCACAGTGATCCTGTGTGACAGAGTAGAACTGCCACAATAGAGTTTTCTGGAAGGTAATTTTAAAAACAATTTTTACTGTGATTTGAGTGTAAGTGTACAGAGCAAATTGGTTTTCTATTCAACAATTCATACACATTTTCTTTCATGATATTGATTGCAATCCTCACAGGGTAACAGCACTCTCCCCACTTCTCTCCCATGTTTCCAGTTTACATTCATCCTTCTTTTCAATCCCTTCTTTAGGTTGCAATCTTTATGGGAGTAGATTTCTAGGTCTTTTGTCTAGTAGAGGCACTGGGTGTGTGTGAAGCACCAGTCATTCCATTACCAGCTGAACACTTAACCTTTATACCATCAGGTCTCCTTTGAAAGTAGTCATGGACAATATATAAATCAATGAACATGGCTGTGTTCCAATAAAACTATGTTTTTGGATACAGAAATTTGAATTTCATGTAATTTTTATATGTCTGTTTAGGTGGGGTTTTTTAAAGTAAGTTATTTTCCTTCTGCTTTTTTCCCCAACCATTTAAAAAAGTGAAAACTATTTTTCACTCTCCAGTCACAAACAAAGAGGTGACGGGCTGGATTTGGTGTACAGGCTGTAGTTTGCTGACCCTATATTAAAATAAAACCCATTTCTCCACTAAACTTCATCTTCACAAAGTAAATGAGGCCTTTCCCCATGCCACAATAATCCACCCAAACAGGCTGGGACCAACCCAGAGTAAGTGTAAGTGGCAGACCCTGAGTAGGAACTCGTCTGGATGTACCCCCTCCATATATCAGCTACTGGCTTGGGTTCCTGGGACCCACACCTGCTTTTCCTGCTCTATCATATACACTGTTTTCTAGAACAAGATCCCATGAGGAGAATCAGAAATCCACTACTTCAGTTTCCCAAATAGTGCCTCATTGTACTGTCATAGGGCATTTGTTGTTGTTGTTGTTATTTGCCATCAAGTCAGCCCCTACTCATAGCGACCCCTCCTTGAGTTTCCGAGGCAGTATCACTAGAGAAGTAGGAATGCCCAACCTTCCTGCCGAGGAGTGGCTGGTGGGTTTGAACCGCCAGCCTTCTGGTTAGCCGTCAAGTGCCTTAGGCACTATGCTACCAGAGCTCCTGTCATAGGGCATTAGGGAATAAGAAATATAAAGTTCCATTATAAACACAAAATAGTGAACATATCTCAGAGGGGGATCTATGTAGGAGATCCTGGATAGAGTAGAAGAACAATGTGGAACAAAACTCAAAATCATTTGAAAAAAAAGGGGGGGAGCAGTTTTGCTGGTCTGATAGAGCCTGATGGAACCACTGAGACCATGGACCCTAGCTGCCCTTCAGGTCTGGAATTGAACCCACACCTGTGGCTGCCAGCCAAACAAAAGACAGGCATACAAGGTGACCATTTACACTAAATAGATACACTCCTTGGAGAGAACAATCATGAGAGAATAGAAAGGCTGTGTATGCACAGGGACATAGCTCAGGGGGCAGGAGTGCATGGAGGGAAGGACATAGGGAAGAGGTAACTATGGGGAGGAAGTGGGAGGGGAGCTGCTGCACTGTGGGAGATTACAGTCAACGTCATGAGACAAAGTATATGTGAAGTGCTGTGTGGAAAATGAATTTGCTCTGTAAACTTTCACCCAAATCACAATTTAAAAAAGAAAATGAGCATCTGTATTTAATGTCTTCCAAAAATAAAATCTAGACACCCATGATTAATTTTCCATCAACGAGAATCAAGCAGAAATCTACCCACTGGTGAGCTCTCATGTATAGCCCTTTATGGGCATATAGAGGTCAGCTGCCCTTTTTCTTCTGGTCCCTTCCCACCCAGAGGACCACATAACATCATTTTCTCTCTCATCAGCTGATTGCAGGCCAGCCCTTCGGAAGCACTGCCAGCAAGACAATTCCCAAGGAGCATGTTGCATCTGCCCAAGACCTGGACACTGTCTGGTCCCTGGGGGTGAGCTCGATGCTTGGCCACACTCTTGTCTGGAGGGAGGAGATGAATGGGACACACTTCTGGCATCTGGGAAACAGCAATGACACCAAATATCATTTTTTCAGGGCTACCTCCAGTACTCAGTCCTCTTCTATGGCTATTACGGCAGGGAGAGGAGGATCGGGAGAGCTGGCTATCGGCTGCCCTTGGCGTATTTCCTGGTGGGGATGGCAGTGTTTGCTTACAGCTTCATCATTCTTTTAAAAAAGTATGACTGTTCAATTTCTTAAAATATGTGCCAAAGTACTGTATGTGTGATCTCATTTAATCTTGTCAATAGCCCTATGGGTACAGGCATAACTGTAGCCATTTTATAGATGAGAAAACCAAGGCTAAATGAGGTATATTCATTTTAACCAGCACTGATCAGACAGTTGCTATTTCGAGCTGGGTTTTATGCTGGTTTTGGAGAAAGGAGAATCATATAGACTCACTAGATAATTTTAGACAATATAGTAACTGTACTAATAGTGATATAAACAATATGATCTAGGTGACCAGAGGCTGTAGAAAGCAAAACATACTCCTTTGGCAGTATGTTTGCCTATGATCTAACTACAGAATTCTGAAAAGGCCAAACTTGTCATGTTGTGATGAAGTTTATGTATCCAGTTCATCATTGCAAAGAAGCACAATGCAAAAAAGAAAGGAAATTGATTGATTAGTAGGAGTTCTGCCCCACCCTCACTCTGAGACCTTTGGCAACTCATTTTTCCTCTCTGGGCCTCACCTGTAAACTAGTGGGTTGGCTAAGAAAATGACCAGATTCCCTTCCAGCTTTAATATTCTGTTCTTTCTAGTTAACTTCTTGTTGTTGCTGTTATGTGCCGTCGAGTCAAACCCAACTCACAGTGACCCCTCCTTGGGTTACCGAGGCAGTATCACTATGGAAGTAGATTGCCCAAGTTGCCATCAAGTCTGTTCTGATCCAGGGAGACCCTGTATGTGTCAGACTAGAACTGTGCTCCATTGGGGTTGTCAGTGGCTGATTCTCTGGAAATTCATCACCAGGCCTATCTTCTGAATTACCTGTGGGTAGATTGGAACCTCCCACTGAGCACATTAACTCTTTGCACCACTCAGGGACTCCTGTGCTTTTAGGTAGGAGCTAGATACATGCAGACTGACAGAAGCTCTCAGTCCTCGGGAAAACCTGGTCCGCATCCCACTGGCTTGTCTTCTATTTCTTTCTAACTGGTACTTTCCACGTATATTCATCATCCTGTTCTTGTGGCATCGCAGCAAAATGCAGACAGAAGTGCTTAGAAGAAGCACTGTGACTTGGGGCCCTTCAGTTCATACTAAGCTTCCCAGCTTAGCTTCTGAGTAACCTCAAGACCCCTTTACTAGATGAATAAAGTAAGGAAAACATTGGCAAATGGGAGCAAACTCAAGAGTGAGAAACAAAGATGGAGAGGAAAGCGGAAACCTTATAACAAGGGAAATAAATGATCTAAGGCACAGAGTGGTTTCACCTGAGGAGAGGATGAAACTCCTGTTTAAGATACCTAAAAGAATGTCATGTGTAAGAGGGACTCAGCATGTTCTGTGGGGTCCCAAAGGGTAGAGTTACCATCAATGGGCAGGAGCTCCAAGAAGACTGACTCAGCAACAAGGACAGCATCGTATTTCACAATTCCGGCTGTACAAGGATGCATAGAGCTGACTCTGCAGAAACACACACCACCAGTGACCTGTTGGCCACCACCTGGGTGGGACTGTTTGTCAATGGACTCACACAATCACAAGTGTTTGCAGCTGTCACACTGTTCAAAGGGGTTGATGACGACAAGACAACAGGGGCTGAAATCCAGCCAGTGCCCTGCTGGCTAAGCATTGACCTAAGGAGCTGCAACCAACCAAAGGGGCCACCTTTTCTAATTCACAGTCTGCATGGGCTAGCAACAGCCCTACAGAGCTGAGTTAATTCCTGACTCTGTTCTTTTATGGCTTATTTTAAGTCCTCTTTTGCAGGATGGCAAAGAACTCCCGCACGAGCCTTGCCAGTGCTTCCAATGAAAACTACACTTTCTGCTGGCGGGTGTTTTGTGCCTGGGATTACCTCATCGGAAACCCAGAGGCTGCAGAGAGCAAAACAGCAGCCATTGTGAACAGCATCAGGGTGAGTGAGTGAGCCTGTCCAGACTGCCTACGGAGGAAGCCACAGCATCTGGGCCCCTCAGTCCACAAATGTTTACAAAATGAGATGTGACCCTCTGAGGCATGATATATAGAGATGATTGATAGCTTGAAAGATAGATAGATAGATAGCCAGATGGATGGATGGCTAGATAGGTAGGTAGGTAGGTAGGTAGGTAGGTGAGTAGATAGATAAAGAGAGGAAGAGAATTGAGAAAAAGAGACATGAGAGAGAAGTAGGTAGACAGAGATAGATAGATCTATCGATTGACCTGTAAGAGGAAGGAAGAGAGAGAGATAAGAGACAGAGACATAGATGAGAGACGGAGAAAGGGAAATATGAGAGAGAGGTAGATAGACAGACAGACACACATATACATACATGTACATGCACATGCACATGTGTATCCAAGGAAGCAATCCTCCAAATGAGATGCACCTACCTCAGGAAATGCACCAAATGATCCAATGGACTGTTCGAAGAAAATACGTGAACTCTCTTTATTTTTATTTTTTATTTCATTCTTTTAAAATTTTAATTTTGTATTTTTGATAATTAACATAATGGATTATTAATATATTACAGGAATACAACTTGAAAATGAAAAAATACATATAGGTTGGGCATATATGCTTTTTTAAAAAACTTAGAAGACAATGTGATCAAAAGCATTCAGAGACACAGATTTAGTAAACAGATAGCTAAGTGGTACCCGATTTTAAGACAAAAAGGCACACAGCCTGATTAAATAATTTACTCTTATTAACATAAAATTGTGTGACACACTGTCACCTAGCTTTCAAATACAAAGCATATTGATGCAGACAAGAAGAAAGACATGAGTTTTGATAGCCCCATCCTTAGCAAGAGGGCATCAAAACTGTAAAAGTTTTCCATTATTTAAAGATCATCATTTTAGTGGATATGAAATGGTAATGGTTGTGGTTTATTTGTATTTCTGTAATGTTGGGCAATCTACTTTCGTAGTGATAACTGCCTTGGAAACCAAAGGAGGGGTCTCTATGAGTTGAGTCCAACTCAATTGCACATAACAACAACAACAACGACTAATGGCATTGAGCATCTCGTGTTTCTTGGCCATTTGTATAACTTCTCTAGTTGAAATGTCTATGCAAATGCCTTTCAAAATAATTTTATTATGATGTTAACTATTGAGATGATCATAGGATTTCCTCTTTTATGCCATTAATTTAGTGAATTAGATTGCTTAATTTTCAAGTGTTGAAAACTACTTTGTATTCCTGGGAATACAATCTTGAGTTCTCTAAAAAAATATAAATAAATCTGTAAAAGGCAGAACATGGAGCCCCAAAAGCACAGCCAGCTGATAGTGCTCTTTGTGTCAGAGAAGGGTCTCTGCTCCAGTGTGTGTTCACCAAGAAAGAGGCAGTATCCATCCACAGGAGAAAGTGAGTTACAGAAGGTACAACGCTCATCAGTTATGTCACAGAGAGCAGGGAAGCTTGTAATAGCATTTTAGAAAGGTTTTCAATGAAATGAATCATATATACATATATATGTATACAAATACCAAACTCATTGAGGTGGAGTCGAATACGACTTATAGTAGGTTTCCCGGGTGGTATCACTATGGAAGAAAATTGCCCAGTCTTCCTTCCGAGGAGTGTCCAGTGGCCTTAAACTGCCAGCCTTCTCATCAGCAAATGCCTTAGGCACACGCCACCAATTACTTCAGACACCTGGGAAATGATTCTGTAGAGTTTCAGAAAGCAATTCTCCTTTATGTGTTGGATCAGGCCTCCACAGTAAGTTCTTAGCAGTGTAGACCCAGAAAGGGAGTTAAGTAAGGAGTGCTCTCTGCCAGGACTATGTCTCCACCCACCTTCTTAGCATTGATAGCTTCTATGGATCTCCAAAGTGGAACTACTGATTCTAAAGGCCCATCAGCATTGGTCCCCCTGGAACCCACGCCCACCCAATCTTTACTGATGTGCAGTCTCCTGAGGTCTCAGATCTACAACAAGCCATTTCTCCCTTTCCCTTCCCATCAGGACATCAGATTACAGAATTTTTACTGTCCTGTTGTGTTCACTCCTTCATCATAGTTTAGGAAACACTAACCTAATTTGGAAGCTTCATCTAGGAAGAATTCTGGATTTGTTTTATTAATCTTCTGATGCAGTGCCTCTAAGGTCAAGACCTCCACATACACCCGGGAGTTGGCTTCAAACCATTCCACCCCACCCCAGCCAATTTACATCTGTGCATGACTCCAAGCCTCAGCATAGCAGAAACAGCTGGGATAAATCCTGCTCCTGATAGGCAGGACTGCAGTCCGAAAAGACTGCTGTGTTGTGCCGTATTGCTTGGTTTGCTGGTTTGTTTCCTCTTCCCTTAAAAATTACCTCCACTAAGTTTTTTGAATAGGTCAAAATTCAAAAGATTGTTGAAGTCTCTCTCCCACCATGTACCTCAGCTACCTAATTCCTCTTCCAAGCAATCATTGTTACTAGTTTCTTTGTGATTCCTTCAGAGATAATCTATGCAAATGTACTCAAATTTTACACAAATGACTACTTACATTGTGTACAAATGTACCATATACAATGTTATATGAGGCATTTTAAACATTCTTTTATTTTAGGATATAAATTGTAAACTTATTCTTTTTAACTGATGTATAAGCCACCATGCAGAGGGGGCATAATTTACTTAACTGTTCCCATATTGGGACCTCTTGTGGCATAGTACCTAAGGCACTTGACTGCTAACCAGAAGGCTGGCAGTTCAAACCCACCAGCCACTCCTCGGAAGGAAGACTGGACAATCTACTTCGTAGAGATACCGCCTCAGAAACCCAAGGAGGGGTTGCTATGAGTCTAATTGACTTGATAGCAGTGCGTTTGTTCCTATATTGATGGGCATTTAGATTGTTTCTAATGCTTTCATATTACAAAAAAAGTCACAGCATTTGTATGGTTTCAATATGTGAGCGCATATGTGGGGAAATTCCTAGGAAGTAAATTGCTGGTCAAAGAGTACATTTATTTATATCTGTATTACATTTTATATGTTGTTGTTGTTGTTTGCCGTTGAGTCGGCCCCAACTCATAGCGACCCCTCCTTGGGTTTCCGAGCCAGTATCACTACGGAAGTAGGATTGCCCAACCTTCCTTCCGAGGAGTGGCTGGTGGGTTTGAACCGCCACCCTTCTGGTGAGCAGTCAAGTGCCTTAGGCACTATGCTACCAGAGCTCCTACATTTGTATATATAGATATACATATATGTGTATGTATATGACAGAAATTGTTAAATTGTCCTCCTTTGAGTTTTTAACCAACCTACGTTCCCATTAGCAATGTCTGAGAGTACTTGTTACTTGATAACTTTGCTCACACAATGTGAATCAAGCCTTTGAATCTTTGCCAATCTGATAGGTTAAAAATGGTATCTTGGAATACTTTTAATTTACATTTATTATTAGGTTAAGAACTTCAAAGTTCTTTTTCCCTGGGTACTATCTGTTCACATTCTTTGCCCTTTTTTGTGCGTGTATTGGAATTTTGGTCTTTCTCTTTTTAACTTGTAGACTCTCTATCCACATTAAGAATATTAGTCCTTTCTTGGTGATGTGAGTTCCCAGTACTTTTTTTTTTTCCCCCAGTTTGTTATTTGTCTTTTGATTTTATTATGGTGGGTTTTTCTGGGCTGAATTTTTATTTCCTGTGTTGAATTTGTACTATACTTAGATCTTCCTCTCATTAAGATTAAATCAAAAGTTTCAGCTCAGCTTTATCTTTCCAATGGAAAACAAAAATTCTGATTGGCCACTCATGCCATGCCTATTCCCTCTTCCCCATTTCCAATTTCCTTTTTTTTTTTCCTTTCTATTCATGATTCATTAAGACATTAATTTCAATAGAACTTTATTATAGGATGAAGCCGTAGACAATGAACTTATGATTAAAAATATTATATAAATAATGTCTAATTTGTAATGATTCTAATCATTTCTAATGATTTATGGTTAATGATAATGCTAAATCTTAATGTGTGTGTATTTTTTTTAAAGGAGGCTATATTGGAAGAGCAGGAAAAGAAGAAAAGTAAAAACTTGTAGGTATTAATGTTCTCTGCACGAAATATATTGATAAGTTTTGTTTCAGTTTGGCACAAAAATTACCAGACAATCTATATCTTATTGTATACATTTTCAGTCAGCCCTTCTTTCTTCTTCATTTCTGTCTTTCTAGTAGCATGATATCTGAGAACCCTGTAATATTTCCATAGCAGTATTTCTTCTTTTTCTTTTTTGGCAAAGAATGAATGAATCCTGGTGTTCTTATGTAATAGTAATTGTCATGAAGCAAAATGGAAACTGGATTACAATGAAGTATTCTGACATCAGGAAAACAGATGAGATGTCTCACCTATTCACTCAGAAAGGCAACATAGCTTAGTTATCACAAGCTCATGGGACCAAAAATAAAAAAAGGACCTGGGCTCTGGTACCAGATGTTGAGCCAGGACCTCGACCCTGCTATTTCCTAGCCGTGTGTCCTGGGCAAGTCACTTCTCTCTTGAGTCTGTTACCCTATTTGATAACAGCAGAATCTGTCTGCATAAATGTTGTTATTGGGTGGGTGTGGATTCTGACTCATAGAGACCCCATATGACAGACTAGAACTGCCCCCATAGTTCTGTTTTTTAATTTTATTGTGCATTGGGTGCAAATTTACAGAGCAAAATTTTTTTACATTCAGCAGTTCATGTGCATTTGATTTCATGCCCCAATTACCATCCTTGACCATAACAAGCCATAACCAACCCCTCCCTTCCCTGTGCCCTTGCCCATCTGGTGCCCCATGGCTGATTGCTCTAAGGGTTGTATCTCCCTAGAGCAGGTGGGTGCATCACCCTAGGGTAGGTGTTCTGCATGTAGGTCTTTCTACCATTGGGCTGAGAGCCAATCCTTGGTAGTGAGTCCAATTCTACACTCGAAGAGTAACCTGAGGCCATAGTCTTGGGGTTCCACCAGATTCCATCTGACCAGTAATTCTGGTCATGTTTATGTTTTTGAGTTTTGTTCCACGTTTTTCCTCCCACTCTATCCAGGATCTCCAGTTTTGATCCTTCCTGAGTGGTTGGCATTTGTAGCTGGGCACCATCTAGTTCTTCTGGTCTCAAGAGCCATCATATCCTTGGACTAATTGTCTCCAGATGTCTTTGATTTTCTTCACTCTTCTTTGCTTCAGATAAGAGGAGATGAGTAGTTGCATCTTATATGGCCACTCTAAAGCTTTTATGACTCCAGCCGCTACGCACCAAAGTAGGTTGTGGATCCGTAGCAGTATTTCAAAGTAATTTCTCATTCCGTAGCTTCTGCAACAAGGATGAAAGATGTGAAATTAACCAGTTTCCTAATTTTTGTATAGATATTTGTTGTTGTTGTTGTTATGTGCCGTCGAGTCGGCCCCGACTCATAGCGACCCCTCCTTGGGTTTCCGAGGCAGTATCACTACGGAAGTAGGATTGCCCAACCTTCCTTCCGAGGAGTGGCTGGTGGGTATTAAGAGAGGAATTTTTAGCACCATCTTCTAGTTTGCTAGGAGATCTGGTGGCGTAATGCCTAAGGCATTTGACTGCTAACCAGAAGGCTGGCAGTTCAAACCCACCAACCACTCCTTGGAAGGAAGGTTGGGCAATCTACTTCCATAGTGATACTGCCTTGGAAACCCAAGGAGGGATCGCTATGAGTCAGTTTTATTTTTAGTTTCCTAGCTTGCTAAATTGAGAAAATATGTAAATACTCTTGAGACTAATTTACTTAGAAAACAAATCTCTGGCAACATAGAATACAATATTACCCAATTCCTGTCCAGAAGTTTTTCAAGGTGATTTCTTAAGTTTGAGGTTCTTCTTCTCAGAGTATTGACACCTACCCTGGTGAGACTGAGACCCTTCAACTAGAGAACATGAAGAGCATTCCCAGGAAGTGACAGTGATTCTGTCCTCCTGGGGACACACATGGCTGTTCATCTGAAATCCTTGCTGGTTCTAATTCCTCACAATTAGTTTATATAAAGCAGAAAGATTGTACAGAGAATGTTGTAGAAAAGGATATGGGGCAGTAGGAAACACACCTAGTCACTGTGGTACTGTAAAAAGGAAGCAGTTGTCTTGGTGGAATGGAAAAAGGAAGCAGATGTCTTGGTGGAAGGACTCTTACAAGGAGTTAGAGGACAGGGATCCCAGCCCTCCCTTTGTCATTAACTATGCATGACCTGGAACACTTACCTCACTTTTCTGGGCTTTCATCTACTATCCTATGAAATGAAAGGATGGGATTTCAATGATGCTTCTCAGCGTGCAGTCAGCACCCACCCACATCAGAATCACCTGCAGTCCTTGCTAAATATATACACCTTTGGCCCAAAGCCACCTTTACGAGATGTATTCTCTGAAGTGGGCTCCCAGAATCTATGCTTTTAGCACATCTCACCAAGTCATTTTTCACAATTTTACTGTCCTTCAAGTTTGAAAAACAGAGCTATAGTAAGTCCAAAGACTTCTAATTAATTGGTTTATTAGGAAAACAAATGAACCACAAAATACCTGTTTCTCAGATCCTAAATCCTCTGCCATTTTATCAACATCTGAGGAAAGTTGATTTGTAGGAGGCATTTAATCTGTTTAAGAGCAAAGATGTCACATGGAAGACTGAAGTGTACCTGACCCAAGCCATGGTATTTTCAATAACCTCATATGCATATGAGAGCTGGGAAATGAATAAGAAAGACCTCAGAAGAATTGATGCATTTTAATTTTGGTGTTGGTGAAGAATATTGAATGTACCATGGACTGCTAGACAAATGAGTAAATCTGTCTTGAAGAAAGGTGGAATGCTCCTTAGAAGTGAGAAGCGTCAGATTTCATTCACCTACTTTGGTCTGTTGTCCGAAGGGATGAATCCCTGGAAAAAGATACTATGCTTGGTAAAGTAGAGGGTCAGTGATAAAGGAGAAGATCCTTAGCAAGATGGATTAAACAGAGGCTGCAACGATGGACTCAAGCATGGTAATGATTGTGAGGGTGACTCAAGACTGGGCAATGTTTCCTACTGTTGTACATAGGATCACTATGAGTTGAAATGGATTCTATAGCACCTAACAACAATATAACAAGATGCAGAAGGAAAAGGGCAAAAAAAAGGGGGAAAGCTAACATTTGCTTGCTTACTTCACTCTAAGCCCACCACGTGCTGTTCTGGAATAATTACCATGAGGGCCAACAGTGCTGGAGGGAAAAAGAGAGAAACCATCAGTTGTATGACTGTGCCTCAGGAGACCACATTCCCCTGAAAAGGGGATCCTTGTGGGTAGCCTGGCCCTACAAACCATAGCAGCATGGTCTAGAGGCAGGAGGGAGTAAAACAGCACCACGTTGGCATGGTGAAGAGCAACACATCAGGAGGGGAGGAAGCTGTGTGACCTTGGGTCTCAGTTTCACCCTCTGAAAATGAAAATGTTAATATTGTTATTATTATTGTTGTAGAGTTGGCACCTGACTCAGGGCAAGCCAGTGCATGGTGGAATGAAACACTGCCTGGTCTTGCATCATCCCCATGATGAGCTGTACATCAGACCATTGTGAGCCACTAGGTTTTCACTGGCTGCTTTTAAGAAGTAGATCTCCAGGACTTTCTTTCCAGTGCATCTTAGACTGGAAGGAAGCTCTATTATGATCTGTTTGGCATCATAGCAACACACAAGCGACCACTGACACAGATGGGTGGCAGCTGTGCAGGAGCTGCATTGGCCAGGAATCGAACCCAGGCTTCCCACATGGAAAGAGAGAATTCTATCACTGACTTCAAAAGTGAGAATAGTGGGCTTAAATTTTTCAGGTTTTTCTATCTCCACTGCTCTATGATTCTTCATCTGTAGCTTGCCTCCACAAGCTTTGGTAATAATAATAATAATACTGTGTGCCTTATTATTTTTATCAAGCCATGTACATTTATCATTTCATTTGAGCATGAGTTTCCTCATCTTACAGATGAAGGGCCAAGACACCTACAGAAGGAGGTGTAAGGACCCGCCAGAAGTCAGCCAGCTAGTGGAACTGGACTTCATGGAGGTTGTGGCACACTTGGGTGTTTTCTCAGATCCTCTCAGTCATACCTGTTTCTTCAGCCACTCTTGCCAGGCAGGGCTAGTGGCTTCCACCAGTTGCACACATGTCCCCCTTGCCAGTTCTTATGCTGGCTGCCCAGAGCCCCTCTGAGCCTGTAGTGTGGGCTGCCCGTAAGATCCTAGTCAACATAAGATGCCCATACAACCAAGAAGCCTCAGAAGTTAATTCTCATGGAGGCACTCTTGACCAATAGGAAATGGGAGCTGATGATAAGTACTTCCCTATCTCAACTTTACACACAGTTCTGAGATGCGTTTCATAAACCCCTCAGACCGTTCTGCAGTTGCCTCTAGCTATGGCCAACTCCACCACACACCCTTTCTCACCTCCCCTAGTCATTCCCCAGACCTTCACTCCTGCTTTCTGGGATCACTTCTCAAATAAACTACTTACAAACAAGCCTTGCCTCAGGCTCTGCTTTCAGGAAAATGAAGCTAAGACATACTCCAAGGTTGGAAAAAGAAGATGCCTTAAAAATAGACCAGGTTGGAATCAGACAGTGTGTTTCTCCAGTGTTATAAAAAGTAGATGTTTTTACATTGCTACTGAATAAATCTGGCTGTATTTTAGGGGAGCATGTTGCTGGTGGCACAGTGCCTAAGGCATCTGCCTGCTAACCAGAAGGCTGGTGGTTCAAACCCACTAGCCACTCCATGGAAAGAAGACTGGGCAATCTACTTCCATAAAGATTTACTGGCTCCGAAACCCAATGGGGGTTGCTATGAGTCGAAATTGACTAGATGGCAGTGGGTTTGGTTTGGTTTGGTTACATAAAGAAAAGAAAAATCTAATGCTGTTAAGTCAATTCCAACTCATAGTGATCCTATAGGACTGAATAGAACTGCTCCACAGGATTCCCAAGGCTGTAATCTTTATGGAAGCAGACTCCCACATCTTTCTCCTGAAGAGCAGCTGGTGGGTTCGAACTGTCAACCTTGTGGTTAGCAGCTGAGCACTTAACCACTGCACCACCAGGCTCCTTACATAAAGAGAACATGTATGTAAATACTAGCATGACAGTTGCTTCAGAGATCTGCTCACACTGAGGCATATGGGAAGTGAGAACAAATGAGGGAAGAGATGAGCCCCATGCCCTCCCCCACCATCATGCAGTTTCTTCTCTATTTACTCACTGATGTATCAAATATTAATTCAGCACCTGTATAAGCTAGGCCTGTTCTAAAGCTGAGGATGCAGCAGTGAAAACGTCTGAGAAATTTGAAAGCTTATATTCTAGAGGGAGACAACGGGTGATGAACTACTAAGTAAATATCTAGTTCAATGACAGATTCATTAAACGCAATGAGAAGCAGAATCGTCACCCTATTTAAATTCATTTTACCTCCTTCCCCCCTCTCTCCTTACCTCCCTTGTTCCGTTCCTCCTTCCATCTACTGAATACATTAACCTGAACTCCTATAACTTAAATGTGCAGACCACAGGACTCCAATTTCAATGGCAAAGCTAAGACTGAAACTCAAATACTCAGACTCCAAAACCAATGTTGTTTGTTTGTTTGTTTTAAAAGACTTAGTGATTCTGGTTGATTGATTTATAATTCATCATCGATCACTTAGGAAATGAGAAATTCAGGGGGTGGGGGACAATGCTCTGTTCTTTTGGTTTGTTTATTGTGAACTTCAGCGTTGAATTAATCATAATCTTAAATTCATGGCACATTATTATCATCCATTCATTCAAGGCCTCTCTCTTGCTTTGTTCTATTTTATTATTATTTTCCCCAGCAATTCCTATGCCCACTCCCATTCTCCTCCCCACATTAGCCAGCAATTCTAGTATAATTAATGTATATATTCTTTCAATCCATTTTCCAGATATATATTTGTTGTTGTTGTTGTTATGTGCCGTCGAGTCGGCCCCGACTCATAGCGACCCCTCCTTGGGTTTCCAAGGCAGTATCACTACGGAAGTAGGATTGCCCAACCTTCCTTCCGAGGAGTGGCTGGTGGGTTGATATATATTTAGATAAGTATATATCCATGAAAAATATAGTGTTTTATATTAAAAAGAAAGAAAGAAAGGCAATGATCCTTCAGGGTAGAGAATCCACTTGGCAGTACATGTGCTCCTGGCCTTACATCTCACTGTCTGTGCACTATGTCCTCTTCCCTGCCTCTCCATCCAGGGCCGTGACCATCTGCCTGAGGATCATTGCCAACGTCTTGGTGCTTCTCTCACTTGCTGGGAGCATCTATCTCATCTACTTCGTGGTGGACCGGTCCCAGAAGCTGGAGCAGTCCAAGAAGGAGCTGACACTTTGGGAAAAGAATGAGGTACCCACTGCCTGTTATCCACATGCTAGTTTCCAGGAACAGACACAATGTGGCATGCCCCTCTCTTCCCATGGTGTTTCTCAAGTTAGTTAGCTAGAAATATCTTTAAGAAAATATTTTAACCATCTCATCCTAGAGCATGGACTGTAAGGGCTTCAAGTCAAAATGGCAGTACCAAGGCTTAGCTAGATGATTTTACCCAGCTCAGTTGGGAAAGAATTTGATTCAAAAAATGCCTTTAAACCTTCAAGCTTCGTTGACATTGGTTTGTTTTCGTACTTGCTGTTACTTCACCAATGCATTCCCAGAAATTGACTTCACCCACAGATGTGCCACCACGACATTGTATCCCACTGTATGTTAGCAGAATTGACCATTCTTCAACTGTTAAACACTTGGGTGATTCTGATCTTTCTAGATTACAAATTATGCTTGTATAACCAGCTCCACACAAATAGTTTGTTTTAAAAAAGGTTTTTATGAATATCCTCTTGAATAGAAAATTATCAAGTAGAAGGTTATAAATAATTTTAGAATTTTTAATTCTAAGTACCTTAATACCAGGAGATCTGGTAGCATAGTGCCTAAGGCACCTGACTGCTAACCAGAAGACTGGCGGTTCAAACCCAGCAGCCACTCCTCGGAAAGAAGGTTGGGCAATCTACTTCTGTAGTGATACTGCCTCGGCAACCCAAGGAGGGGTCGCTATGAGTTGGGTCCAGCTCGACAGCACATAACAATTGTTCTTGTTGTTACAAGAACAATAACATTACAAGACTATTGTCTTGAAAGTTTGGTCCAATCTGACTATAAAGATTCAAAAGGTGAAAATATCACAAATGTCATCTCTGGAACTGATTATTATCTACAGGGATTTTAAAAATATTGTGTCTAAATGATTTGATAGTCATCAATTTGTCCTCGAAATCTAAGACTACAGTGGGCCATCTAATCCCTTTTCTTATACCTCTTTCCATTTTTCAGCAATTAAGTGGGTTATGTAAATATGTGCTTGTGTGTTTATAGACAGACAGATGGATGGTTTTTTAAAAGGTATACTCAGAATTTGTTTCCTGTTTTAGCTCAAACCTCCTTTTTTCCAGCTAAAATTCCAGGCCTTTATTTACCATAAATGTAAAGAAACAACAGCCAGGTACAATTCTCTAAATAATTAATCTTCCATATAAAACAGAATATTAAATTACCACTCAGCCTTGCTTTTTCTATTCAGAATACATGCAGTCATTATGGATCTCTCGTCCAAGGTCAGGGAAATATAAATAGAATGAAATGGTAATGGGGAAATGTGAGAGAAATCCTAACAAACCTAAAAGAGCATGTATGCATGTCCTCAGATTAAAAGGAGCTCCTGAAAGGAATAAATCAATGAAAACGTGGCTGTGACTTTTTGATAAAGGATGATCAGCAGAGATTTGGTGAAGGTTTTCTGTGTTGGGAACAGCATGGCCCTCTGAAAAGCCACTGACTAAGTATTAGCTAAGAGACCAAATGTTAGGTAAGTGAGGTTGGTATGTGGAGCCCTGGAGAATCCCAGTGGCTGGCAAGTGCTCTCTTGGCAGGTGAGTGTGGTGGTCTCCCTTGTCACCATGTTAGCACCATCAGCATTTGACCTCATCGCCGCCTTAGAGATGTACCATCCACGAACCACGTTGCGCTTCCAACTGGCAAGGTACTGTCACATTTTTGGGAATGGTCACATTGTAGCCCCCCATCTGCCCACCCATAGTGGCAATGTAAGACACTCAGGGGCCAAGGCTCAATTCTTTCCCCCCTAAAACTTAGCACAGAACTACCTATGAATGCAACTCAAGAAAAGCAGGATACAAAAAAAGAGAAAGGTAGGAAGAGGAGGCAGGGAGTTGTAGGCCCAAAGGACAAGGATGGGAGAAATGAATTAAAAGATAGGGAAAAGTACAAGCAGAAGAGAATCAGGAGTATCAGGAAGAGGAGGAAGAATAAGAATAGGAGCAAGAGGAACAGGGAGAGGAAGAGGAGGAGAAGAGAGAAGAGGAGAAGGGGGAAGAAGAAGAAGAGGAAAAGGGGAAGGGATGCAAGAGGAGGAGAGGGAGGAGGACAAAGAGGAGGCAGGGGTCGAGGAAAGAGCAGGGAGGAGAAGGACCAAGAGGACAAGAATAGAAGACATGGAATATAATGAAGAGAGCAAGCAGAGGAGGAAATGGAGGAGGAGGAACAAGAGAAAGAGGGAGAAGGGAGGAGGAAGAGGACTAAAATGTGGAGGAATAGGAGGAAGAAACAAAAGAAGGGAAGGAGGAAAAGGAGAGACAGGAGAAGAAGGGCAAAAGAAATGGCAAAGGAGAAAGATACAAAGCAAAGGACCCAAAAGATGATGGAAAATGTGTCTTGTTTTTCTCACTGTTGAGCTCACTTCATGGTTGGACTATGAGTGGTGAAAAAAAAAAAAAAAAAAAACATGTTTCTCCAGACAGGAAAGCAACATTTAATTCTTTGATAATAAGACTCAAAATTATGGACTCAAAAAGGCTAGGTTCTTGAGTATATGAGTGGAAGCCTCTGGACTGTGTCAGGATTGTCAGTGGGCATCCAACAACTACATTTCCACCACTGGTTTCATCACCGTCTTCCTCCATCACCTTTGCAAATTCTGCTTCCCCTTCCTGAAGTTTAGTCTTCCCATCTAGACATTAAGCTGCTAGGTTTAGGTGAGCTTCTCTTAAATTGAAGGTGGCAGGAGAAGGCACTGTCAGAGCCCTGATTACTTGCTTCCTCTCAACATGGTCTACATTTGTTTTATCATTTTTTCTCCTGTAACCTAGTAACATCCTGTTGCTGTTGTTAGTTGGTTATTGTCAAGTTGATTCCAATTCACGACGATCCCATGTGTGCAGAGTAGAAACACTCCATAGGGTTTACAAGGCTGTGAACTTTAGGAAGCACATCACCTGTCTGTCTTCTGAGGTGCCAAACTTTTGACTAGTATTCAGGCATTTCACCATTTGTACCATCCTTTCCTCAGACCACTTTGGGAAGATTTGCTGGCACCCAGGACTAAGCAAACATTCTCTATAAAGGATCTGGTAGTAGATCTTTTAGATTTGATGAGACATACATCTCTGTCACAACTTCTCAACTCTTCAAGTAACATGAAAGCCTCCATTAACAATAGACAATACAGAAATGAATGGGTGTGGTTGTGTTCCAATAAAACTTTATTTACAAAAACAGCCAAGGGAGACACTCGGCTTGCAGGCCATAATTTGCTGACCCCTGAAATGCAACTTCAAAGATAGAAAACCCTGATAAGAAAGAGCAAGGAGTTTGCCAAGACCTCAGACCTGGGAAGGTCTAGGGTGTGATCTCAGCCCCCTGACTCCTGCTGTTGTTGTTAACCGCCATCAAGTTGGTCCCTGCTTTATCACCACCCAATGCACTACAGAGTACCTGCTCCATTGGGTTTTCTTCCCTGTAATATTCATGGAAACAGACCTCCAGGCTTTTCTTTTATGGAGCTGCTGGGTGGATTCAAATTTCTAGTGTTTACATTGGTAGCTAATCACAAGCCACTTGCACTGTGCAGCCTCCTTCTCTGGCTCTTAACCTTGTCCCCTTTGTGCTCTGTTCAGCACTTCTTCTGACCTGGAAGAGAAAATTATGTTCCTCAGCTCCTTCCTCACTAGCAGGCATTGAGGAGAATCAATTTCATTATTCCATTTGGTCTAACTGCAATCCTGTTACATAGATTGGCCTCGTTATTCATGTTCAAAACTAAAGAAATAGAGGCATTGAGAGATTTGCCCCAAAAATTAATCAGGGGGTAATTCTGGCAATAAAAACAAGATATATTATTTTAGTGCCATTATCTCATTACTGGACCATGTTACCTTTTTCCAAGGCACAGTGAAAACCAGAAAATGGGGATACCAAGACAGCAGGTGAGCCTTCCTTCAGCCAACACTTACTGAGTATACACTGAGGGCCTTGTCCTGTGCTAAGTACTATAAGTGCAGAGATAAAGGTCCTGGAATTATGCAGAATATAATCCCTTCAAAATCTCAGAAGAACAGCCAATGTGGTTACAATTGTGCCCCCTCAATGATTCTTCCTCTTCCATGTTTCTCTGCTTATTCCCTGTACACAAATAGTCAACTCTCCACCTAAGGAGATGAAGGAACATCTTTAGGGGTGGCAGATTCACAGTTTCAACTTGGAGTCTTTTCCTCAAGATAATCCTGCTTTCCCTTTTTCATCAACTAGTAATTGGTTTCATGATTCTCAAATTACTAGTCATTGTCCCAATGAGTTATGTGTAATTATGCATCCCATTTTTTCCTTCTCAATGTATTTCTCTAGATAGACTTCCAATGAGATACAAGGCTGCACCTTGGGAAACTCCATGATGTGTTTCCAGAACCTTCCAATTCTGATTAAACTGATATCAAGCCTCTTTGATCATTGGTCCATCAGTGCTGTTGCTGGCAGGTTCCATTCTCTCCCATTTGTCCACAAGGTGTAGATCCACCCACAGCCCCTCAGTCCTTCAGTGTTTTGATTGGCTCAGCCTCTATTTCATAACCAGAACACCAAAATCTCAAATTTGTATCCTGACTCTTCTTAACAGTGTCATCTTCAGTAAGTCACTTAGCTCTCTCCTTGATTCAATTTACTTCTCCCTTAAAGTGGGGATTATAATAATGTGTATCCCAGACGGTGTTGTGAGCATCAAGTGAGATGATACATGGAGAACCACTTTATAAACCAGAAAGTGTGGCACAAAGACACAAATAATTTACACTATTTAGAATTCCACTTCCTATGCTACACCCAAACCAAAACCAATTGCCATCAAGTCAGTTCTAACTCACAGTGCCTTCATGTTTGTTAAAATAGAACTGTGCTCCATAGGGTTTTCAATGGCTGAACCACCAGGAATTTCTCTCTAGGCATCTTTGGTTTGAAAGAAACCAAGGGCATTAACTTCAGTATCCAAGATTCCTTTGCTAAACTGGGGGAAAAAAAAACAAGTGGATTCGGACTTACAGAGATGGACTGAATAGAACTGCCCCATAGGGTTTCCAAGGGTGTAAATATTTATGGCAGCATATTGCCTCATCTTTCTCCCAGGGAGTAGCTGGTGGGTTCGAATACTGACCTTTTAGTTAGCAGCCCAATGATTTAACCACTGCCCCACCAAAGCCCCATTCTGCTACAGCAGTGGTTCTAAAATGCTGACCCATGGATGGGCTACAGTGGAATCACCTGGAAGGGTTGTGAAAAGATTCCCAATCCCCATCTAGATCTACTGAAGCAAAATGGATCCTGAACATTTATATTTTTCTAAATGTTCCTAAGGTGATTCTGAAGGAAAACAAGTTTGGTAGCCACTGCCTTCCCATATCCCTGATTTAAAAAAAAAAAAAAAAAAAACCTGTCATGGAGCCAATTCTAACTCATAGTGAGTCATTGGGTTTCCCAGGTGATAAATGTTTATTAGAGCATCTGATAGGTTTGAAACACCAAACCTTCTGGTTAGTAGTGAAATGCCTTAGGCACTGTGCCATTAGAGCTCCTATATCCTTGATCGGGAGCTCTGGTAGCATAGTGGCTAAGGCACTTGACTGCTAACCAGAAGGCTGGCGGTTCAAACCCACCAGCCACTCCTCGGAAGGAAGGTTGGGCAATCCTACTTCCGTAGTGATACTGCCTCGGAAACCCAAGGAGGGGTCACTATGAGTCAGGGCTGACTCGATGGCACATAACAACAACAACAACAACAATATCCTTGATCAAACCAATAAACCCAAACTCACTGCCACTGAGTCAATTCTGACTCATAGCAAATCCTCCTTGGGTTTCCAAGGCAGTATGTAGATTGCCCAGTCTTCCTTCTGAGGAATGAATGAGTTTGAACTACTAGCCTTCTGATTAGCTGTCAAATGCCTTAGGCACTATGCCACCAGAGCTCCCAATATCCTTGATTGTTGTTGTTGTTGTCATATGCCGTCGAGTCAGCCCCGACTCATAGCGACCCCTGATAGTCACTCCTTAATTGTGTCATGGTCTTGTGTCTCAAGTGAGCTGTGGCTTTCAGGGTCCTTGTGCTGTATCTGGGAAATCTCTACAGTTTGATCATCGCTCTCCTGGACAAAGTTAACAGCATGAGTATTGTGGTAAGTGCCCTGTCCTGGAAAGTTGCCCACCCCCATCCTCACTGCCACATGCACACATGCCATGGTCATTGTCCTCACTGTCATCATCATTGGTAATACTTTCACTCTATACATAATGATCAAAACTCAACTGGGATGTAATCTTCACAAGGTAAATATGGGAAAATGAGCCCATTTCCCAGATAAAGAAACTGAGGTCAGAGTTCATTCTAGTGAATGATAGTTCTGGGACGAGAAATGGTTCTTTTGATACCAAGTCTCTTTCCACCTTTCTACCTTATTTCCTGAAATCACAAAAAGAAATGCTATTAACAGCTATTGCAAATGATCCCAGGAAGAGCTGCAGGGCACGGAACTCACTCAGAAAATCAGAAAAAAAGAAACATCTCATGCATATAATTTAAAGTGGGCCCCACCCTGGCTCAGCACAGAATGCCCATTCCCAGCCTCGGGTAACTTTTGTCCCATTTTAAATCTGTCCCACCTGTAACAATATCTTGAATGATGAGGGAGGAGAGAATGGAAGGAGGAAGTTTCCCAGGGTTGTCTGCTCATACCAGACCATCCTATCATCATGTCCCATGGCTTGTAAGGCAGAAGAAACCACAGAGAGAACAATCTACATTAGGGTTTTGAGGTTGCATGTGCATAGGTCCTTGTCTGCCTCTTACTGATGGCATGACATTGAGCATTCGACTTCAACTCTCTGAGTTTCAATATCCTCATCTGTAACACGGGGAAATGATTCTGAGCTGAAACACTTGTTGTTAGGATGAGAAGAAATAGCATGTGTTAATCTAGAATAGTCTTTAACATTTATTTGTTTGTCTAGGAATCAATTAATACTATCATTAAAACTCTGTGTTCCATTGCTGGGGTCAGCTCTAGTCAAGTGGCTGTCTACCAAACCAAAACAAGACAGAGAGAGAGAAATTATTCCCAGATCAGTAATGAAGCAATAATGTCCTTGGTATCCATGATGAATTATTATTTACAAATATATGGACAACTGTTTTTTCTTCCTCTTTCTTCCTTCTTTTCTTCCTCCCTTCCCTCTCTCCACAGGACACTGCTACCAAAAACAATACAAATCATTGGATAGACTCTACCACCTTCTTTGCCACCAGGACTACCCCTGAAGAGGAGAAATGGTCCACACCTCGGCCTGAGATAGGACTCAGGAAAAATAGCACATGGGTCTTGGAAAAGGCTGGTGCGCCAGCTCTCATCATGATGCTCACAGAGGCCAACAGGACCACTCTCCATATCCAGAGTCCACAAGACCAGTGCTGGGAAACATATGTTGGGCAGGTGGTTCCCATTACCCATTACAGAGCCCTTTCACATTCATTTCATCACTTAACCCTTACAACTTTCTGAGATGTCACAGTCCCTATTTTATAAAAAAAGAAAAGGAAAGTTCAATTAGTGGGTGTGATTTTCCAGGTCTCAAAATTCATAATGATAATCAGTGTAAAGACTTAGATGCAGTCTTCCTTATGTTCCAGGTCCTGTATTAAGGTTTAGTCCATATAACAATTCTATTATTATCACCCCTGGGTGGTACAAATAGTTACCATGCTCACCTGCTAATTGAAAACCCAGTGGTTCAAGTCCACCCAGAGGTATCTTGGAAGAAAAGATCTGGCACAAGAAATGGAGATCTACTTCCAAAACATCAGCCATTGAAAACCATAGGGAGCACAGCTCTACTCTGATACACATGGGGTCACCATGAGTCAGAACGGACACAATGTAACTAGTTTTTTCTAGGCACAGTGAGGGAAGTGAGGCACAATAGGTAAAGTTACTTGACCAAGGACCCAGATAGCAAAAAGGAGAATGAAGATCCAAACTCAGGCATCTGCTTCAAAATCTGTGCTCTCAACCACTCTGCCTTTTGCCTTAGACACGTGATCTCATACTGAAAATCACAAGCCCTAGATACTCCCATGGAAATTAATCTCAGGCCTCAAGTAGGCATCTATGGCTCAGAACCAAAAGCTTTAGATTCTTTCTAGTTAATTGTAATTCTTCCCTTGAATTATTAAAATTCACATTGAAATTAGCAAATGTTTAGCGAGCACCCCTTATGTACCAGGAGCCCAGCCCACTACCCACTGCACCTTATACATCTGCACAATGTGGATGCCACTGGAGAGGGCCCAGTGGTTCAAGCTCTCTGAAATGAAAGGAGGAGGGTGGGAGGTGGGAGGGAAGGACATGAGTGGCATCTCAGGATACCTGTGTTTCAGGAGATGCTGAAGCTGTCCATCATTGACATGCTCTTCACCGTGGCCAGCATCCTGCTCATAGACTTCTTCCGAGGACTTTTTGTTCGATATTTAAGTGACTACTGGTGTTGGGACCTGGAAAGCACATTTGTAAGTTAAATGGTGTGTCCATTTGGGAAGTTCACAGGGCTGAATTCATCCTTTCTGGATGTGAGACTGGGAAACAGGCAGTCATGGGTGAGGATCACAAATTGGGAAAAACTGTGTGACAAAAGAAGGATAGGATATAAGAAGCTGAGTTTCCACTCCATCTCTTACATTTACCATTTGTTTGGATTGCCACAAAATCATCTCTAAGTATCTATAAAAGCAAAGAAGTCTATTGTTGCTGTGTTCAGTTGAGTCAATTCTGACTCATAGTAACCCCATGTAACAGACTAGAGCTGCCCCCACAGGATTTCCTGGACTGTAATCTTTACAGAAGTAGATCACTGTCTTTTGTCCTGTGGAGTGGCTGTTGGGTTTGAACTGCCTACCTTTTGGTTAGCAGCTGAGCTCTCAACCATTGTGCCACCAGGGATTTAATATAGTGGAAATGGTTTGTGCAAAGCACTTTGGAACATTTTTTCATGCAGAAATTAATTTTCTCTTGTAGCCAGAATATGGGGAATTCAAAATAGCAGAGAACGTGCTACATTTAGTCTACAACCAAGGAATGATTTGGTAGGTATCAAAGCTGCTTCTTGTCTTTGCTGACATCTCATCCAGGGCGAAGACTTCAATTCAGTTAATCTGGATGGGACAGCCCACAATAAATACAAAGATGGGAGTTAAGAAAGAATGTAAACAATTCCAATGTAAATATATTGTGTGTGTAATAATTGTATTAATGATTTTCTAAGCGTTTTTCAGAACGGAATGATAATGGAAACTCTTCATTTCTAAGCCACTATTGCTCATACCCAAAATACTTGTACATGAATGAGTTGAATAACTTTTTGGGGAGGATTGAGGGAAGTCTGAGAGCAGAGGGTGCTTTTCTCCAGCAAGGACTTTCAGGAGAAGCTATGGGTCACAGCCTAAAAACTCAGCCAGCCCTGCCCTTGACTCCTGTTTTGGTTACCTAGTGATACTCTAACAGAAAAATATACCACAAATAGGATGTCCTTAGCAAACAGGAATTTATTCTCTTACAGTTTGAGGGGCTAGAAGTCCGAGTTCAAAGTGCCAGGCTCTAGGGACTGAGTGAAAGCCCCTCGACCTTGGGCTTCAGCTCTGGCTCTTGCTCCTGGCCCACTGAAGCTAGAAGCATCTCTTCACTCAGGAAACTACTGGCTGCTGAGGCTAACAAGCCCAAGGTTGACAAATAAAATGGCACAGTCCCAATGTTACCAAACCACATGGCAGGCCATTAATTCAAGTCTGTTGAAAGTCCCAAGTTTGGCAGAGTATGGCAGGCTGCTGAACAATGACACAGCTACATGCAGGGTTCAAGCATGCCATAAGCTAGAGACCATTCCCCAAGACTTCTCCTTATATACAGGATGCAGACCACATCCCTAAAGCAGCTACTCAACTGCTCACGGTAGATTCCACCATGGAGTTGATTACTAGTCTCATCATGGGGAATATGACATCCAGTTGCCCAGAGACTCAACCAGGCCCAGCCAAGTTGACACACAAACTTAATTACCACAACTCCCCAGTCTCCTTTCCATATATGCCTCCATATTTCCACTTAGACACTGGGCTCAAGAACACTGCCATCCCCTAGACTGACTGATGCACCCTGGGGGAAGCCAGAAACTTGGGATGTCTATCCACCCAGATCATCTCCCAGGCCAAGGCAATCCTGTTGCTAATGCCAAGGAGATGAAAGGTGCCATGTGCTCCATATAGATGTGTGTGTCTATAGAGAGAGTGACTCCACTGTCTTTGGTTTTACCTTTGAGATCACAAATAGTACTGTTTGTTAAAATACAAGCAAAGAAAGAAAAAGAAGTACCTCTTGAATGGTACAGACACTCAGAAAACAGAACCTCTGTTCATAATCATTCAGTAAAATGCACCTGGAATTGAAAGGTATAAAGTAAAATTCCTCCATTCAAATACTATGTGCTCTTATCGACTGTGTTTTACAACATATTTTCACAAATATAGCATTAAAATAATGCATAGCATTTGTTTACTATTTTCCAGATTTGAGGTACTTTTATGACTGATTTTATCTTTATAACAACCTTATGAGGTAGCTACAGTTATCCCCCCCCCATTTTAAAGATGAGGAAACTGAGGCACAGTGAGCTAAAAAATCTTTCCTGTCATCACAGAAAATCACAGTTAAGCCAGACATGAGAAACCAAAGGTTTCTTTTTAATTAAAATATTTTTACTTATTAAACATACCCTTATAAGGAGCCCTAAGGGCCGACTTGATGGTAAACAACAACAATGGAACAATAGGAGCTCTGGTGGTGTAGTGCCTAAGGCATTTGACTGCTAACCAGAAGGTTGGTGGTTCAAACCCACCAACCACTCCTTGGAAGGAAGGTTGGGCAATCTACTTCTGTAGAGATACCGCCTTGGAAACCCAAGGAGGGGTCACTATAAGTTGGATCTGACATGACAGCAGTGAGTTGAGTTGAGTGGAACAATGGTTAGATGCTCAGGTGCTAACTAAAAGACCGATAGTTCAAAATCACCCAGTGGCCCCATGGGAGAAAGAACTGGTTTCTGCTCCTGTACAGAATACAACCTAGGAAACCCCATGAGGCATTTCTACTCTGTCATATGGGGTATCTATGCATCAGCTAACAACAACAACAACATATCTATGCTTATTCTCCTACCACCAAATCTATATTCCCCAAGTATTATATCAAATACACTTCTAGTATGAGTAGATTTAGACTAAGATCAGAAGACCTGGGTTTTGTACAATAATTCCGTGGCATAATCCAGATTATGCCTATTGTCTGAGCTCTTTCAGTCTCAAAATTATCCTGGTTTGAGTGATATAGTTGTTTGTTGTGAGTTACCATTGAGTCAGTTACAACTCATGGTGATCCTATATACAGTAGAACATAATGTTCCCGGTCCTGTGCCATTCTCAATCGTTGGTATGCTCAAATCCATTCTTTCAGCGACAGTGTATCTTGAGTGCCTTGCAATTTAGGGCCTCATCTTCCAGAACTATATTGGATAATATTCTGTTGTGATCCATAGGATTTTCGCTGACTGATCTTTCTTTCTAATATGTCTTGTTCTGGAAATTCCACTGAAACCTGCCCACCATGGCTGACCCTGTTGGTATTTGGTTTTTGAAATATGTGATACAGTTCCAGCATCATAGCAATGCACAAATCACCACAGTACAACAAAATGACAGACAGGTAGTGGGGATGATATAGGATAATCTTTTACGAGCAACGTGTCTTAATTCCCCAGATTCACCTTCCATGTCTGTAAACTTTGGATATTTACCTCCTTTTTCATAACTGCAAGATATTAAATGAGTTAAAATGTGTGAGGATACAGAATACAATGTCCAACAAAAGTAGGTGCTCAACAAATATTGATTGAATTTGATAGTCATCAACTATGAATATAGACCTCACTATAGTCAGGCAGGGGGAGCTCTGGTAGCATAGTGCCTAAGGCACTGGACTGTTAACCAGAAGGCTGGTGGTTCAAACCCACCAGCCACTCCTCAGAAGGAAGGTTGGGCAATCTACTTCCATAGTGATACCACCTCAGAAATGCAAGGAGTTGTCGCTATGAGTCGGGGCCGACTTGATGGTACATAACAACAACAGAGTCAGGCAAAGTTTGGCAATTGCCCCACACATTACTTGCCTCCTCAATTTTGCTAAGTGTAAAGAGAGACACAAACACTTAGTATTCCTTTGCAAAATGGATATTTAACAATAAGATCACTATTCATCTGCAGAAGTAACTTGTCTTATTTCCAGAAGATGAAAGTTGAGCTGTCAGATCTTCACAGGGCTTTTTCAGATCTGTAAGCATAGGGTGCAAATCCCAAGTTCTCAGAACCATGTTCCTCCATGGGACTTCTGGACCATAGCACTGGGAGTCACACAGAAAGAGAACAAATGCTAACCTGACCCTCCTTTGTGGTTCCAGGATGGGGGCCTTCTTCTCCCCATGTCTTCCAGCATTCAATGTTCTCAAACTGATTGGGCTCATGTACCTGAGAAGCTGGGCTGTCCTGACCTGCAATGTGCCCCACCAACAAGTATTTCGAGCATCCAGGTAAGTTAAAATAAGTTCTGCTTAGTCTTTGGGTGGTGCAAATGGTTAACACACTCAGCTGTTAACTAACAGATTAGAGATTCAAGTTCACCAGGAGGCACCTCACAAGAAAGCCTGGCAATTTAATTCCAAAATTATCACCCAACGGAACACAATGTTACTCGGAGACACATAGGTCATCATTAAGTCAACTGATTATTGGTATATATATGTGTTTGTGTTTTGTATGAGTGTATCTATATATAGAGAAAGAGAGAAAGATTTGCAAATTAACACTTACCTACTTACTACATTCTGTTGTTGTTGTTAGATGCCATCAAGTCAGTTCTGACTCATAGTGACCCTATGTACAACAGAATGAAACTGCCTAGTCCTGAGCCATCCTCACAATTGTTGCTGTGTTTGAGCCCTTTGGTGCAGCCACTATGTCAATCCATCTTATTGAGAATCCTCCTCTTTTTCACTGACCCTCTACTTTTCCAATCATGATGTCCTTCTCTAGGGATCAGTCCTTCTTGATAACATGTTCAAAGTACATGAGACAAAGGCTCTCCATTCTCCCTTCTAAGGAGCATTCTGGCTGCACTTCTGAGACAGTCTTGTTTGTTCTTCTGGAGGTCCATTCAATATTCTTCACAAACACCATAATTCAAAGGAGGAGCTCTGGTAGCATAGTGCCTAAGGCACTTGATTGCTAACCAGAAGGCTGGCGGTTCAAACCCACCAGCCACTCCTCAGAAGGAAGGTTGGGCAATCTACTTCTGTAGTGATACTGCCTCAGAAACCAAGGAGGGATCACCATGAGTCAGGGCTGACTCGACAGCAAACAACAACAACAATTTTTTTCTTCAATCTTCTTTGTTCATTGTCCAGCTTCTGCATGCATATGAGGTTATTGAAAATACCATGGCTTCAGTCAGGTGCACCTTAGTCCTCAAAGTGGTGTCTTTGCTTTTTAACACTTTAAAGAGGTCTTTTGCAGCATATTTGCACAATGCAATATGTTGTTTGATTTCATCATAGCTTCATTTCTTCATTGCTTCATGTATTTCTACATTTTCTTCATTGCTCTTCTGTGGTGTTGATAGATCCAAATAAAGTTAAATCTTTGACAACTTTAATCTTTATTTATTATGATGTTGCTTATTGGTCCAGTTGTGAAGATTTTTGTGTTTTTTTTTTATGTTGAGGAGTAATTCATACTGAAGGCATAGTCTTCGATCTTCATCAGTAAGTGCTTCAAGTCCTCTGCTTTCAGCAAGTAAGTTTGTACATATCATAGGTGATGTTGTATTCTTCTTCATGCAGTCCATCTTCTCAGCCTATTTGCTCAGAATACAGATTGAATAAATACAGTGAAAGGATACAACCTTGATGCACACTTTTCCTGATTTTAAACCATGCAGTATCCCATTATTCTGTTCAAACCACTGCATCTTGCTCTATGTAGTTCTACACGAACACAATAAAGTGCTCTAGAATTTCCATTCCTCTCTATGTTATCATTGATTTGTTGTGATGCACACAATCTAATGCTTTTGCATAATCAATAAAACACAGGTAAATATCTTTTTAGTAATCTCTGCTTTCAACCAAGATCCATTTGACATCAGCAGTGATACCCTTTGTTCCATGTCTTCTTCTGAATCCCACTTGAATTTCTGGCAGTTCCTTGTTGATATACTCCCATAACCATTTTTGAAATATCCTCAGTAAAATTTTACTTGCATGTGATATTAATTATATTTTTGATAATTTCTGCAGTCTGTTAGATTATCTTTCATCACAAATATCAATCTCTTCTAGTTGGTTGGCCAATCTTCTGAATTTCTTGGCATAGATGAGTGAGTCCTTCCAGCATTGCATCTGTTTGTTGAAACATCTCAATTGGTGTTCTGTCATTCTTGGAGTTTTGTTTTTCCACCTTCAGTGTGGCTTTTACTTATTCCTTCAGTACCACTGGCCCTTGATCATATGCTACCTCCTGAAATGCTTGAACATCGACCAATTCTATTGTTCAATCTTCGACATCATTTCTATCACCAAGCCCATATTTTCCAACTACTAATCCTTTGTTTCCAACTTTCACATTCCAATCACCAGTAATTATCAATGCATTTTGACTGCAGGTTTAATCAATTTCAAACTTTGACATCAGCAGTTGGTGTGTAAATTTGAATAATTGTCATATTAATTGATCTTCCTTGAAGGCATATGGATATTATCCTATGATTGACTGCATTGTACTTCAGCGTACATCTTGAAATGTTCTTTTTGATGATAAATGTGATGCCATTTCTCTTCAATTTGTCATTCCCAGCACGTAGACCATATGATTATCTGATTCAACATGCCAATACCAGTCCATTTCAGCTCACTAATGCCTAAGACATTGCTCTTCATGCATTCCATTTCATTTTTGAGAACTTCCAATTTTCCTAGATTCATACATTATACATTCCACATTCCAATTATCAAAGGATGTTCAAAGCTATTTTTTTTCTCATTTTGAGTCATGTCCTATCAGTAAACGAAGGTCCTGAAAGCTTTATTTCATCCATGCATTAAGGTCAACTCTATTTGAGGAGGCTCTTTCCCAGTTGTATTTTGAGACCCTTACAACCTAAGGGTCTTACCTTCCGGCAGTATATCAGACAATATTCCACTGCTATTCATAAGATTTTTACTGTCCAGTTTTTTCAGAAGTAGATCACCAAGTTCTCCTTCTGGTTTATTTTGGTCTGGAAGCTTTGTTGAAACATGTCCACCTTGGGTGATCCTGCTGGTATATGCAATGCTGGTAGCAAAGCTTCTGGCATCACAGCAATATGCAAGCCACCACCATAAGGAAAATTAACAGACAAGTAGTGGTTACGACATTCTATAATTCTGATATTTTCTATTCTTTTCTAATCCAGTCTAGACTAATCTCATCTCAAAAAAACCAAACTCACTGCCATCAAGTCCATTGCAACTCATAGTGGCCCCACTGGGTTTCCAAGGGTGTAAATCTTTATGGAAACAGACTGCTTCATCTTTGTCCACAGAGCAGCTGTGGATTTGAACCACCGACCTTTTCATTAGCAGCCAAATGCCTTAACCACTACACCACCAGAGCACCATGAATCTATCTAGTCTATTTCATTAAAAGAAAAGAGAAAAAGAGAGACAGAGCTAGATAAGAGTCCCTGGATTGATTTCACAGCTCCCAACTCAATCTATTTCCAGTACTGTGTATGCAGCCTTGCCTGAGCCACCTTCAGGGGATGTCTGGACAGCCAAGAGCACTGATACCAGCTTTGGGCTCAGGAACCAAAGACTAGAGCTTAATTAGGCAGGACATTTACCTGAGCACTCAAGAGAAGAGAGTAAGTAGTAACATGCAAACCACACCCAATAAAGAAAGTCAAGAATCATAATCCAAGGAGTCAAACCATCCCCAAATATAAGATGAATTCAAGGCTAGGAACAGAAGAGGAAATCATTGGTAGGGACTGAGTGAGTGGGGCAAAAATCCTAAGATTTTTCTGTGAATTGAGCTCCTTGGGTGACAGCCATGGATATAGAGGATCATTTGCCCTTCTAAAGATTTGGGGTGAAGAGGTGCTCAGCAAATATCAGTTAGATTTGCTGGATGATAAATCTATGCCCATCTTAGGTTGGCCTGGATTATCTATAAAGTCCCTAAGAGCATATGACCCTTGGACCCAAATCCATTATAGGTAGCAATGGGAGGAGGAATTTTCTGTTTGCAGAGAGTCAAGGCAACCATTTTTGTGTTTGTTCCTTCCATATTTACATTCTTGGCAATTGGCCAAAACATGAACTCAACACATGGTTTCTCTGTAGATCCAACAACTTCTACTTGTCAATGCTCCTGTTCATGCTATTCCTCTGCATGCTGCCAACCATTTTTGCTATTGTCCGATACAAGCCATCTCTAAATTGTGGGCCATTCAGGTAAGTTATTTTAGTTCAATCATCTTTGCCTGGTTATATCATTATATAAATATGTAAATTTTATAAATATATTCATTTGTATATAAATATAAGGAGTCTTGGTGATGCAAAAGTTAAACACTCAGCTGCTACCTAAAAGGTTGGCAGTTCAAACCTACCCAAAGGCTCTGTAGGAGAAAGACCTCCAGATATGCTCCCATAAAGATTCCCATTACCCACTGCACCGAGTTGATTCCAACTCATAGCGACCCCATAGGACAGACTAGAACTGCCCCATAGGGTTTCCAAGGCTGTAAATCTTTACAGAAGCAGACTGACTCATCTATCTCCCTCAGGGTGGCTGGTAGGTCCAAAACGCTGACCTTTTGGCTAGCAGTCTAATGCTTTAACTTCAACACCACCAGAGCTCCTTCCTATAAAGATTACAATCTAGGTAACTCTATGGGACAATTCTGCTCTGTCATATGGGATCTCTATGAGATGAAAATCAACTCAACAGCACCTAACAACAGCATATACAATTATGCAATGTTCATTCATTCATTCAATCAGCTTTGTGGAAATACTCCTGCTGAATTCTCCTCTGCCTAACACTGATACAAACATGTATGTAACATCGAGAGTCTATCTTTGTGTATACTATTAAAATACCCATACTTCCATATATACATACACACACAATGTGAATACTGACCCCATCATAGCCTCAAGCCAAGCCCACAGCCATCGAGTTGATTCCAACTCATAGCAACCCTCACTGGGTTTCTAAGTCTGTAAATCTTTAGAGAAATAGATTGCCTCATCCTCCTCCCCTGGAGCTGCTGATGAGTTTGAACCACCAGCCTTTTGATTAGCAGCCAAATGCCTTAGGCACTGCGCCACCAGAGCTGACCCCACCTTGAGATCTATATATTAATTAGATGAATACTCTGGATGAAATCCTCTGAAGAATGTTAATTGTCTTTTACATTCAATTATTTACTCTAGTTTTGTCACTGACTTTGAGGAATGTACTCTAGGCTTCTAGCCATTGGGGGATGTTTGGCAGCATCTCTCTGCCAAATGCAACAAAGTCTGGCATCATGTTTCTCTTCCCACAGTGGACAAGAGAAAATTTATGACATTGTGTCAGAAACAATTGAGAATGACTTTCCTGCATGGTTTGGCACCGTGGTTGGCTACATCAGCAGCCCTGTGGTTATCCTGCCCGCTGTGCTGCTGCTTTTGTGAGTACAACACCCAGAGTTCCAGTCCAGGGCTGGGGACTTCCATATGCTCAGCTAACAAGGAAATGGCTTTGTAATAACGACATAAATTTAATACATTATTATTATTCATTCAAAAAGCATTCACAGAGCCGGATGACATAAGCAAGGACTGTGACTCATAGACCAGAGCAACAAGCCACTAGACCAAGGAGCTCTAGGTCTCAGAGAGGAAGAGGGGAGTGAGTCCTCTACTCCCATTAGGGTACTTACTGATTCATCAACAATATCTGATCAATTACTGATACTGGAGTTGAGTATCATTGTTATCATTATCTTATTCTCCAGAAAGGTCTCTAGGTAGTACAAGCAATTTGCACTCAACTACTAAGCAATTTGAATCCACCTGGTGGTTTTTTGGTTTGGTTAGCGGTTTTTGTTTGTTTGTTAGTGGCACCTTGGATCAAAGGCCTAGAGTTCTGCTTCCATAAAGTTCACAGTCAAGAAAATCCTATGGAGCAGTATACTCTAACACATGGGGTGGCCATGCATCAGAATTGACTGGACCACAAGGGGTAGCTTAGCTTTTGAGTTGTTGTTGTTGTTGTTATGTGCCGTCGAGTCAGCCCTGACTCATAGCGACCCCTCCTTGGGTTTCCGAGGCAGTATCACTATGGAAGTAGGATTGCCCAACCTTCCTTCCGAGGAGTGCTGGTGGGTTTGAACCGCCAGCCTTCTGGTGAGCAGGCAAGTGTCTTAGCCACTATGCTACCAGAGCTCCAATAAATGAAAACTACCATAGGAGGAGGGAGCTCTGGTAGCGAAGTTCCTAAGGTACTTCACTGCTAACCAGAAGACTGGTGGTTCAAACCCACCAGACTTCTGGGCCACTCCTCAGAAGGAAGTTTGGGCAATCTACTTCCGCAGAAATTTAAGTAATCTGGAAAATGAATTTCCCAACTCAGCTGAGTGTGGCTTTTCCTTATTTGTGTTTAGAGGAAAAAATAAAAGAAACCAGCTTGATACATTGAAAAATGTTTCTCCCATCTTCACTCCTTCCTTATTGCTAAACTAGAACTCCAGGTGCAGGTCAGTGGAGGTTGCTGTGAAAAGGAAGAAAAAGAAAAGGAAAGCAGCCTCTTCCCAGTGCTCTGCAGCTTGAGAACTCACTGAGACATTTTGTCCTTGGGGGAGGGGTCAGTGGATGGCCCACATGGAGCCTCTTGTTTCTGACAACCATCTGAACTGGGGTCATGGCCTGAAAAGCCAAAACCCCAGCTGATGTGTACTATTTTGTATTGTCTGTCCTAGCATGCTGATCTATTACCTGCAGAGTATTGCAAGATCATTAAAGCTCAGCAACCATCAACTCAAAATGCAGATCCAAAACGCAAGTATCATGTAATTTTTGCAATTGTGTCTCAGCTGCATGACAGAGATCTTACCAGTGTGGAACCACAAATGAAGTCATAGTTTCCAGTTATCTAGACTTTTAGCCATTTCTCAGGAGTTCTGGTGGCATAGTGGATAAGGAGGCATTTGGCTGCTAACCAGAAAGTCAGAGGTTCACATCCACCAGCCGCTCTGTGGAAGGAAGATTGGGCAATCTACTTCTGTAAAGAATTACAGTCTCAGAACCCAATGGGGGTTGCTATGACTCAAAATCAACTCTATGACAGTGAGTGAGGATTGTGCAAGGGGGAGCTCTGGTGGCACAGTGGTTAAAACATTCGGCTACTAATCAAAAGGTCGGTGGTTTGAACCACCAGCCACTCCATAGGAGAAAGATATGGTAGTCTGCTTCCATAAAGATTTACAGCCTTGGAAACCTGTATAGGGCAGTTCTGTTCTGTCCTAGAGGGTCACTATGAGTTGGAATCAACTCAATGGCAGTCTCTTTTTTTGTGTGTTTTGTTGTGGTTAGGTATAAAACTTCGCCTTCAGATATCTGCATTTATTCTTTCAAATAGCTAGGCTGAGCCTAGAGCGCTCTGTTTGTTACTGTTGTTGTTGTCATTGTTATGTGCCGTCCAGTCAGACCCGACTCATAGTGACCCCTCCTTGGGTTTCTGAAGCAGTATAACTACAGAAGTAGATTGCCCAACCTTCCTTCCGAGGAGTGGCTGGTGGGTTTGAACCACCAGCCTTCTGGTTAGCAATCAAGTGCCTTAGGCACTATGCTACCAGAGCTAAATCCAAAACAAACATGATTATCATTTCCATTTTAGGCAAGATCTGAAGATAAGAAAAAGGTTGCCCAAATGGCAGAAGGTAAGTGTACAATAGCATGCAGAGATCTGACATCTCAGTTGGTGGGCATTTAAAAACATAGCTGTTTAAAGTAAACTATTGAGTGCCTGGGAGGTGCAAACAGAGTTGTAACTTTGCCCAGAGGAAATGGGAATAGGACCAAAGAGGGCAGCTGAAGCTAAATGGAGCTGTTTTAATACCAAGCTAATTAGAATGGACCTATTACCCTCTAGGGTATTGTTTTGAGTAAGAATCATGGCCCAAGCATTCTGCCTTTCCTACTTAGCTTTTGAGAGAGAAATCAATAAATGAAAGCTACTATAGGAGGAAGGCCTCAGAAACCCAAGGAGAGGTTGCTATGAGTTGGGGTCAACTCAATGACACATAACAACAACAACATAGGAGGAAGGAGCTCTGGTAGCATAGTGCCTGAGGCACTTGACTGCTAACCAGAAGGTTAGTGGTTCAAACCCACCAGCCACTTCTTGGAAGGAAGATGGGGCAATCTACTTCTGTAGTGATACTGCCTTGGAAACCCAAGGAGGGGTCGCTATGAGCTGGGTCCTACTCCATGGCACATAACAACAACAACACTACAGGAGGAGTGCCTAAGGCACTTGACTGCTAACCAGAAGGCTGGAGTTTCAAACCCACCAGCCACTCCTCAGAAGGAAGGTTGGGCAATCTACTTCCCTATGATACTGCCTTGGAAAACCAAGGAGGGCACTATGAGTCAGGTCCAACTCAAGGGCAAATAACAACACTATAGGAGGAGACTTCTCTTGCTATAAAACTCATTCTAAGAATCAAGTATTACTTGCCAAGTGAGTATAATTAAGCTTAGGTCTGGTCACCTTCAAAAACTAGGGTCCACATAGACTTTCTCAGGGTAACAATAGCATTGTCCAGTGTTGATTTTCTCAGTCCAAAGCCACATCATTTTTTTCAGAATGATGCATGAACTGTTTCCAAAAAGTCATAACTTTCATATGAACTTTATTATGCCCATTGTAGAAATAAAGAATCAGAACCCCAAAACTGCTGAATACCATGCTCTGCTTTATGGAGATATCAGAAGGTGCACCATAAAGCCTTAGGATTCAATTGATTCCTCTTTTGGCATAGTGCCTAAGGCATTTGACTGCTAACCAGAAGGCTGGTGGTTCAAACCCACCAGCCACTCCTCGGAAGGAAGGTTGGACAATCTACTTCCGTAGTGATACTGCCTCGGAAACCCAAGGAGGGGTCACTATGAGTCAGATCCAACTTGAGGGCAGTGAGTTTGGTTTTGTTTTGGTATAGTCCTTCTCAGGTTGCTGGGCGGTGCAAATAACCAAAAGGTTGTGGTCTGGATCCACCCTGTGGTGCCACAAAAGAAAGGCCTGACAATCTGCTTCCGTAAAGATTACAGCCAAGAAAATCCTACAGAATGCCGTTCTACTTGCAGCACTTGAGGTCACCATTAGTTGGAGTTGACTCGACAGCAACGGGTTTGGGTTTTGATTTGTTCTGTAAGTTTATAGTCCCTTTCAGGTCCAACTTTCTGTGATGAAATGATTTGGATTATGAATTATTTGTATTTGCAAGTATACACAAAAGTCTTACAGTTAAATCATGCTGAATATGTCATACCATTGGAGCTGGTCTTCTCACAAGTCCTCCCTCCACTTGCAGCCAGAATCCAGACCCAGGAGGAAAGCATCAAGGGTCTTCCAAAGGACAGTAATAATGTCAGTCACCTGTACTCCACTCAGTCAGCGACACCACAAAACAATGGCAACGTGGTCAATTTTGACTCACCAAACTGCAAGAGTGGCAAGATAGAGACCATCAGCCAATCCATGCCCCAGAGCTCCAGGGCAGGGCACAAGAGTCTCAGCTCACCTCTTCCTGGCATTCCCAAATCCAGGCAGGAACATAATACTCACAGGTGAGGCTTAACTGCAACACAGCTGGAAATCTGGGTGCCTTGAACATGATGCCAGTGATAGCCAAAGGCCTAGGAATATAGGGTAAAGAGCTTTAGGGGATTTGCAGACCTGAGCAGTTTCAAGAGGCCAAGATCTTTAAATTCCATTTCTTCCAGAAGGCCATGAGACATATTGTGACACTTGGTACTGAGAAGAAATGGGATTAGGTAGGGAGATCAAAAGGATCCCTGAAGGTGCAATGATTAAGTGCTCAGCTGCTAACTGAAGGTTGGCAGTTCAAGCCTATCCAGCAACTCCATGGGAGAAAGACCTGGTGATCTGCTCCCATAAAAATTACAGCCTAGGAAACCCAATGAGGCAATTCTATTCTGTCACATAAGTTACCATGAGTTGGAATCCATTTGACAGCACCTAACAACAAGGGGGGCAAAATGTATCCAACAAAACAAATTCTTCCTTCCAGTCTCTCTACCATATAACTTGTCATCAAATGCTCCTGCCAACCTAGGGTGTGTATTTCTACAGCCTAGGAAAATACACTATCTCTTTTATCTTTTACTTTTTAGCTCCATATTATTGGCATACTGTTGGCAAGATCTTTCATATTTTAGCTCCAGGCTGGTCATGTTCTTGGCAAGATCATCATGATTTTGGCAATTGGGGTCAACTGTTCCAGTCGTAACTTACGATGTATAAGAAAGCAGCAGAATTCTGCATCCCTTTAATGTAGGCACAGCATCCAGAAGGATGGAGGGAACAGACCTGCACTGGCTCAGACTCTTAAGGAGAATTATAGTTAGATCTGAGTGTAACACTCTGAAAGCGATGTACATAAAACAAGGAGATTTTTGGTTCTTGATTTTGGGGTATTTAAAAAACAATAACTAAAATGGCAAAGAACTTGAAATCTTGCCCTATGGTTAGGTAGAAGAACTGGAGTTGTTCACAGAAGACGTGGAGTTGTTTTCACTTCTCTGTGTGCTCTTCAGAAGGAGGAGGGATTCAAACACTCCTGCATAGGCCCTAGGGGTCAACCAGGGCCACTGGAGAGACTCAAGTATTTATAGGGAAAAACTTTCCAACAGTTATAGCTCCACCCAGAGGAAACTCAGAGAAGTGCCTGGACAGCTGCTTAGCAGGGATAAGAAGGAGCAGTGTTTCCAACATGTGCTGCACAAACATTTGACCCACTGTGTGCTTCTGGACAAACATAGCCCTCTATGATGAAACATATTAGCAAAACACCTATACCCTATACCCTTCTTGGACAGTTGCAGTGCACCTCATTATGTTAAGGTCTCTGAGAATTCCTGCAGTAAAGGAACATGTTTAGCCTAGCTCCCCAAATGTGTCTGTGCACACAGTTCACAAAACGCCCACCAACAGTTCTGTCTTAACTTGTTAGTCCTACTATAAGAGAAATACCACAAGTGGGTAGCATTAACAAACAGAAATTTATGTTCTCACAGTTTAGGAGGCTAAATGTTTGAATTCAGGACACTAGCTCTGGAGGAAGGTTTTCTTTCTCTTTTGGTTCTGGGAGAATGTCCTCATCTCTTTACAGCTTCTTTTCCTCACTTCCTTAGAGATCTTCTTGGGGTATGGCATCTATTCTCCCCCATCTGTCTTGCTTTCTTCTGTTCCTAATCTGCTATTTTTATATCTCAAAGATGATTGGCTTAAAATGCACCCTACACTGATATGGCCTCATTAACATAACAAACAAAGAAAGAAATCTATTCTCAAATAGGATTACATCCACAAGCATAGAGGTTAGGATTCCCAAACATATTTTAGAGAGGGACACGATTCAATTCCTAGCAACTTTGGAACCCACTTTGATGAAAACACTGATGGAACTGCTAACTTAGCTCACAGTACTAGACCATGGTTTCTTAATCATATCTGTCTTTATAGGTATCCATGTGGTCCTAGTGCAAGTACAGGTGACATTCACAAGAACAGATCCTGCAGCCCTGTGATGTTTAAGAAGCACATGGAAGATGTTCACTCTGAACCTGTTTTCCGAAGAGACTTTCAGAAAAGCAACCCTCTTCTCCACAGACCAGGGACCTCAGCCTTTGTGGCACATGGTCATCAACCCCACACCCCCAGATACTATATCATTAATGAACGTGACTCTTACAAAAAATCCCATCCAGCCTTTTGGTCAGAAAGACATTTCAAGAGAGATACCTCAAGTGATACTGTGGAGATGTATCCCAGAAACATGCAACAGTATGGGCGCTGGGCCCCCCACCAAGCTCACTCTCCACAGTTCAGTGAAGAAGAAGAGGAGATACTGAGGAGAGATTTGACCAAGCAGTCTTTACACCCACATTCCCTTACAGACCTCTACTGGGCTTCTCATTTTTATATTGGTGAAAGGTCAGAAAGTAAGAGCCTGGCTTCTGAGAACCAGGAAAGGAGGCACTGCAAGTCTTGGAATGATGGTTTTGAGGGTCAACGAGACAGGTCAATGTATGTTCAGAAAAAGCCACGCCCTCGGCAATACCCACAGCACCCTCTGAAGCCTAAAGGTAAGCCCAAGTTTGAGCCATCCCTCACAGAATCTGATTCCATGTCGGCAGCATCCAGTAGCGACCAACAGAACAGCAGCACTGACCAGTACCTCCAAGTCATCCATACCCATGCCAAGATCCCAAGATCTGTGGGCCAAATTGGCAGGAGGAAGGCCAAAGCTAGGCAGGAGCTGACCACAGATCTGAATGACCTGATTTGTTCAAATGTCTAGGGGTAAAATGGTATCCCATTCATAGAGACAGGCCCGTATTGGAGTACTGGCGTTTCCCCAAAACACATTCAGTGCATGGTCCCTCCCCTTCTGGAAAGAGAGATAAACATACCTGGCCAGAGTTACAGACTATATGGGGCAAGTTCACTCATGTCAACTGCTGGCTGAGGTCCTGACACTCACATAGCTACAACTGTGTATTTAGAGCAACCATACACAAGTACCTGTCCAACACACAGCAGCATCTCTAGCATATTAGACCATAATCACCTCAAGAAAACTTCAGTCTTTTGCCTTCATTTGAGGTGCCCACAAATCACAGGCAAGCCAGGCCTCTCATCCAGATCAAAGAGACCTACCGTGTTAGGCTGGGTTCTCTAGAGAAGCAAAACCAGTAAAGCTTATATAGAGAGAGAAATTTTTCTTAGGAAAATGGCTCACACACTTATAGAAGCTGGCAAGTCCCAAGTTCTTGGATTGAATGTCAAGCTGGAGGCTTTTCCTGACTCACGCAGCTGCAGGGGCTGACGAGCTCAAGGTTGGCAGGCAGTGCACCAGCTGTTGACTCCAACAAGTGATGAATCCAAGATCTCCAGGCCGAATGGTGGATTGTTCTCTCACAGACAATTGTAGGCAGCACAACAGGATCCCAAACCACAGAAGAGTGTCTCTTTTTCCCAGGATGTCCATAAATATATTGGAAGCAGGCCACACCCCTCGGGAAACTCCCTTTCAACCAGTTGGCTGCTCAAAACATATATATCTGATTCCATCATGGGAATAACCCACATAACAACTGCTTAAACCACTCAGAATTGTGTTCCAGCCAAGTTGACACACAGCTCCAGCTATCACACCTACCCTGACAGGTCTGCACGTGTTCTCAATATGAGTGAACTATATATATTGCTACGTGCCCTTTCAACTTACAGAATTCAGCCATTCATACGTAATGAAACCAAACTCACTGCCATCGAGTCGGATCCAACTCAACCGCTCCTTAATTTTCCGAGGCAGTATCACCACAGAAGTTAATTGCCCAACTTTCCTTCCGATGAGTGGCTGGTTAGCAGTCAAATGCCTTAGGTACAACGCCACCAGAGCTCCCATTCATACATAATAAAGTACCTGGAAATTAGGTGGCTGCCCTTAAAGACTTCACTATGCTTCATCTGTATGAATAATCAATCTAGCAATGATAGGGTAATTAAAATTTATCAAAAGCTTGCTATACTCTGTTTACTGGCCTGTATATTTATATTAATCAGTCGGTATGCTTAGACTGGAAGTGAAAAAATCCCTAAGGGAATTTATTGGCTCACTTAAGAAGGACAGGGAATCAAACTAGCTTCAAGTTCAACTGGAGCCAGGGAGACAAATATCTTTAGGATTCTCTGTCTTTTCACCTTTTGCCTCTACTTCTGTGTTTATCGACCTCATTTATCCTGTGGCCAACAGGCTTCCTCCAGATGGTAGGTGAAAGAGGAATTTCCAGCCACAGAGAATGCCAGGTTTACACCATCCAGAGAATGAACCCAGAGGAAAGAGAAGAGTTGTTACTCTTCATTTTAGAATATATAAATTCCTGGGAAGGTCTGTAATTGGTCTGGCTACAATCACATGCCCATAATTTGGCCCAATCGTGTAGAAAGGTAGACACTACAGTTAACCTTCTGTGTTATAGGACTGTGCCTGTAGCCAATGAGGCAGGTGTTTAGATAATAATCCCTTGAGAAACATATAAAGGAGCTCTGGTGCTTCAGTGGTTAAAGCTTTTGGCTGCTAACTGTAAGATTGGCAGTTCAAAACCAACAGCCACTCCATGGGAGAAAGACGAGGCAGTCTGCTTCCATAAAGATTTACTGCCTTGGAAACTCTATGGGGATTCCTGAGTCGCAATCAACTCCACGGCCATGGGTTTGGTTTGGTTTGAGAACTATATGGAATATGTACTGTTCTGGTTACCTAGTGCCATTCTGACAGGAATATACCGCAAATGGGATGGCTTTAACAAACAGGAGTTTATTCTCTTATAGTTTGGAGGCTTTAAGTCTGAGTTCAAGGTGCCAGCCTCTAGTGGCTGGGTAAAAGCCCCTCAACCTTGGGCTTCAACTCAGACTTTCTGCTCCCAGCCCACTGAAGGTAGAGTCTTTTCTTCACTCAGATAGCTGCTGACTGCTGAGACTGATAAGCCCCCCAAAATTAAACCCACTGCCATCGAGTTAGATCCAATGCATAACAACCCCTCCTTGGGTTTCTGAGGCAGTATCACCACGGAACTAGATTTCCCAACCTTCCTTCCGAGGAGTGGTTGGTGGGTTTGAACCACCAGCCTTCTGGTTAGCAGTCAAGGCACAGTCCTGATGTTACCAAACCACATGGCAAGCCATTAATTCAAGTCCATTGAAAGTCCAAAGGCCAGCAGATCATGGCAGGCTACTGAACAACAACACGGCTACACACAGGGTTCAAGCGTGCCATAAGCCTAGAGACCATTCTCAAAACCGCTTCTTATATACAGGAAGCAGACCACATCCCTAAAGCAACTACTCAGCTGCTTGTGGTGATCCCACCATGGAGTTGATTACCAGTCTCATCATGGGGAATACCAGCTGCCCAGCCACTCAACCAGGCCCAGCCAAGTTGACTTACAACCTTAAGTACCACATGTAATGAGAAAGAACATCTCCCCAAAGGAAAGGTTGGGACCGAGAAGGTGCGCTGTTACCAGAAGAAACTGAGAAAGAAGAACTGAGCCAATGAAAATAATAGCAGTTCACCACAGTATTTTACATGCATCATTTCATCCAACCTTCTCATCATCTATAAGAATTGTTATCATTGTCCATTATCCCCTTTGTATAAGTGAGGAAACTGAGGCACTATGATGTTAGATAACAGTGTCAAGATCACACCTTTCCTGAGTGACTGGATAGGATGAAAACTCAAGAGCTCTCCAATTCCAAAAACTTCTGCTCTGCATTATACCAGGCTGTTTCTTCTTGGAGGGTTTTTATTTTATGAAACAGACTAATCCAATTCATCATCTTCTCAAGTTCCACAATCAGAGAGACATAGGACCCAAAGAGCAAAAAGCAACAAAGACAAATACAGATATACTTCATTATTGCACTTTGCTTTATTGTGTCTTGCAGATATTGTAGTTTTTTACAAATTGAATGTTTGTGACAACCCTGAGTTGAATGAGTCAATTGGTACCATTCTTCCAACCACATGTGCTCACTTCATGTCTCTGTGTCACGTTTTTGTAATTCTCACAGTATTTTAAACTTTTTCATAATGCTATTGCATAATTAATAGATTACAGTATAGTGTAAATATAACTTTTATATGCACTAAAAAAAAAAAAAAAAACCAACTCACTGCCACCTAGTCGGATCTGACTCACAGCAACCCCTCCTTGGGTTTCCAAGGCAATATCACTTCAGAAGTAGATTGCCCAATCTTCCTTCTGAGGAGTGGCTAGTGGGTTTGAACTACCAGCCTTCTGGTTATCAGTCAAATGCATCAGGCACTACGCCACCAGAGCTCCCACAATGTTCTTTGGTATGTTCTGCCAATTAGTGGCCATCACTGTAGAGAATGCAATGTCTAGATCAGCCATTTCCAAGGGGATTCCTTGTCTTTTTTCCTGGAGAAAATCCTCCAATCTCTTCCCTGGCAGGTTTGAGCCTTGTTACCTGTGCATTTAGAGCTCAGTAGCGTCTAGGAACTGCCATTCTTACTGAACTTAAGGCTCAGTAACAGACTATCAATTACCCTTTCCCCATTTCTAGCTTTGCACCTCTGCCCTTCGGCTGTGAAACCATTAAAGTGAAAACTATTCCCCCCACCCTGGTTAAGACAGATCATTAGATAAGACCTGGAATGGGAATAGATAAGTAAACTAAATTACCCCAACTATTTCCCCACCCCAGGCAAATGAGTATTCAATTTCTTAATGGTTCCTTAAAGAACTGAATGGAAGGAAAACATTTTTTTCCTGCAGGTGATAGACTCCCTAAAATTGTCTTAGAAAGCAACTTGTAAATTAACTCTAGCCCACAGACATGTGCAATAGGGCAGAAAGGAACAAAAATTAATGAGAACTGACCCTCTCCCCTCTGCCCAAGCCCCTATCAGCTGATGACAGGAAGCTGGTGTGATTCATCCACCTCCAGTATAATAGTCACCAATTTCATGCCCCAAATTCCTCAACCTTTTGTGAATATGCATAACCCCCTCTCCTGAAACCTACAAAAATGGTATTTCATGGGGGAGTCAGATCTGGGTACGAGGATACCCCTACTTGCATTCCCCCTTTGCAATAAATAATTTTCTCTCCTCTTAATCTCAGTGTGTAAACTGTTTTGGCCTGACTATGCACCAGGCCGGGACTCGCATTTGGTCCTATAACAGCTGTGTCATAAGTCACCGGCCAGAATAGCAATGGTTTAACATCATCAAAAGTAAACATCCAGACTGTCTCCTCAAATCAGGGGAAAGAATATTGTCATATCAACTTTCAGCCAGTCCTCCTACTCTTATTCCTATGTGCACTCACCTCTAGCCCCTGAGTTTTGGGGGATTTTGTAATATAAATGGACTCTTTTTGAACTACCCTCATCACTGGCTGGAGGTTCTGCTTTGCAGCACTTCTCTATCTTCCAGCCTCCACTGGAAGCAGGAATCTCCTCTTGCATTATCTCCACCTTTATGTGCTGATGTCATTTTGCTCCTTTTCCTGACTATATGCCAGAAATTTAGCAGCAGAATGTGTTCAATCTGCCATGCTTCACCAGGAGTGTGCCCCTATTCATATTCCCTTGTATACCTCTTTTCACCTTGAATCATATCTGTTTATTTTCCTATCTCCTCACCAGTCTGTGAGTACCTCTGGAACAAGAATGGTCTTTTACTAATTTCTGTTGCCCAAGAAACTAATACATAAAAGATAATGTATTTGTTTTTTATTGCTATGTGACAACCATAGTGGCTTAAAAACAATACATATTTATTATTCACATCTTCATGGGTCAGGAGTCTGGAC